TCAGGAACGTGACATTCCGCAACTTCCACATGACTAACGTCAACCAGCCCATATACGTGACGCCATGCATCTACTCGTACACGGGCTGCGATAACTCGCGCCTCAAAATCTCAGACATTACCTGGCAAAATATCACGGGTACCTCGAGGTACAATGTCGCCGCAGCCATCTATTGCAGTAAGAGCACGCCTTGCACGGGTCTCAAGTTCAAGGATATCAACATCAAGCCAATGAATGGTGGGCAGGCAAAGATTCTTTGTAGCAATTTAAATAGCGACAGTGGGCTGGCGTGTACAGGTACTTGTCCTGCAGGATGGAAACAGCAATTATCTGGAAACGCTTAAGACTGAGTCAGAGAGAGAGGAAATGAGAAGGTTCCTGATTAATTCCATGTACATACTTATTACCACAATTGCCGGACGAAAAGCTGATCCGTCGCTCAGTCTCCGAGTCAAGGCACTAAATGTCAGCGCTATGTAATATCCTTTTTGAAAAAGAACCACCATCCTTGTGCAACCTCAAGGCATGTGAAGCTACCACAGATTTTAGTGCTTACACTAGTGATCGGGTAGACGCACATCGTACGCAGCCCTATCACGCGTGTCCGGAGGTTTGAGCTAAACAAGTGGAACGAGACGCGCCAACCTTACGTACACCACTCTCGGGTGCAGAAAACTTTAATTTAACCTTTACTGTTGCAGGTAATATCTCGGCAGTCGTGACAAGGTGATTGGGATAACCTTGCTAGCTTGACCCATACAAGGCCAAGATCCATGGCATGATGTACAGTATGCGGAATACGTACCCTGTGTAGCACATACGCGCCAATATGCGCTGTCACAATGTACCTTTGAGGTAGTACTGGATACATGGTTTTGCACGAGGAGGGCCCGGCATCCTGTGCGGGGTACTATGTTTACACGTCATCATCCGAAAAAGCTAATGTAGTACCTTGGTAATATCGATGTTGTCGGTGTTCCTGTTTCTTTGCATATAGCTGTACTTGTTCAATTAGAAGCTTATTTGTTTCCTTGTTGACTGTCACTCAAACCATTTCAAGGCAATCATGTCAGCTAGCCCCAACAACTGGCCAAAACTCCATCATACACTGCTTCCAACTCTTCTCTCTTCGATCGCTGACCAGTACCCTTCTCTTTCCTATGCCCGGTTTCCGCGTGATCTCGATGATATATCGAAAGGATATCGCAGGTTCACATTTGCAGAAGTAGCTAATGCCGTCAATGCGTTTGCATGGTGGATCGACCAGAACGTAGGGAAGCTAGCAGAGGAGCAAAAGAATGGAAGTCAGACATTGGTGTACATGGGACCAACTGACATCCGGTATGCAGTGTTTTGTTTAGGGGGTATAGTTGCTGGATACAAAGTAAGTCTGCCATTCATTAACCTCATGATATTGGTCAGAAACAAGATTGATAGAAAATGATAGATGCTCTTCCCTTCACCACGGTATGGACCCGAGGCCTTGGGAAAGTTGATCGAAACCGTAGATGCGAAAGTCTTGCTGAGTCCCGAGACACCGTATGCTGTCGAAGCAGAGATCGTAGAGAAGAAGAAAGGTGTGATAACAAAATTTCAAGCACCTAGTGTGGATCAGCTGTTTGCGGAGAGAGTAGCGGTATATCCTTTTGCCAAGACTTTTGCGACTTGTAAAGACGAACCTATGATATGTTTACGTAAGTTGACAACATCCTTTCACTTGGTTCAGCTTGCTGCTTGAAAAAGCGACAGAGAATGAAGAGCTTACCTTTGGGAATGCAGATACATCCGGCACAACGGGATTTCCTAAGCCCATACTGTGGACACACAATTGGATTGCTAGTCAATCGCAGACACTCAACCTCCCACTGCCAGCCGGTTTTATCCGTCATGACTATCATATACGCTACCAAAAGAATCGGCGTGCACGATTACTGGTGACTGGCCCCCACTTTCATGCGAGCGGGATCTTCAACATGGTTCTATACCCTTTGCTATTGGGCACAAACCCCATCTATTCGCAATTGGGAGCAACACCAGAAGAAGCTGTAGATCGTGCCATAGCAGCTCTAGAAGTTCTTCATACAGAGAGAGTAGTGGCGAGCGGAAGTGCGTCTGAGTTGTCGCAGAAGGTGGCAGATTGTGTGTCGGTGGTGCCGACGTTTATAGAGTATGTGGCCAAGCACCCCGAGAAACTCAATCAGATTGTCCAAAGGAGCCACTCGTTACGGTATGGCGGCGGAAGTGTATCTCGCACAGCTGGCGACACAATAACAGACAAGATACATCTAGTCTGTGGAATTGGGTCCACCGAGCAAGGCGTTTGGCCCAGCATCCGGCGAACCGAAGATGGCATGAAACGTGATAGAAGATGGGAATATGTGACTCCCCACCCGGCACTTAACTTGCAATTCCGCCCTGTTTCCGAAGATGCTGGTAAAACCATGTACGAAGCCGTCATGGTGCGAAACAACGGCAAGGACTGGGATGGATATGTGCAGCCTTTGTTCAGATGCTTTGCTGACCTCAAGGAGAAAAGCATGGGCGACCTATTCATAAGATCTCAAAGATCTCCAGATATGTGGAAACACCACGGCCGTACAGACGACCTACTGGTCTTCCTCTCCAACGAAAAGTTCTTCCCCACTGTCGCTGAGCAGCGCATTGCGTCGCACTCTGGTATCACTGAAGCCCTGATTATAGGGACACGTCGACCGAAAGCTGCGCTCATTGTCAGGCTGGAGGAGGGATTCGAGCTGGATGATGTGTGGGAAGAAATCGAGGAAGTTAATGTGGACTCACCGCTTTACGCACGGGTTAAAAAAGACATGGTTATTGTTGCTCAAGAGCCTTTTTTGAAGACGGCAAAAGGGAGTATCAGAAAGGTTGATGTGCTGAGAAGGTATTCGAAAGAATTGGACAAATTGTATGGTGAAGGAATTTGAATACTATGGTCGCACAACAAGGTGGTTATGTGAGATTAAACACCGGGTGCATTAAGGAAAGATCCCTGGGTCAAGGCGCTATATCTAACTAGGTGAGACGCTGTGCCAGTTAGAAGTTGGGAAAGAGGGATGTGGCAGGATGTGGAAGGAGTGAAGCCAAGCACGACGAATTCCAGATAGAATAGTAATAGACAGTCTACCATATATATATGAGAGAAAACTTCCTGTTCTAAACTCAGTTTGATTGTTTTTCCTGTCAGTGCGGACATTCTGAAAACCCCCTGTTTTCTCCGTGCACATGGTTGCATATTGAACGACATTCGCTTGCTCTGCTTTAAGCGCAGCCTTAAGTTCTACCCGAATCTTTGAATCTGGTAGTACGAGAATTCGGTAAATAGTAAACGTAAAAAAGAGGACAACCACACCAACAGAAGGGGCAAGATTGTGGGTATAAAACTATGACTGATTCAACAACGCTCAATGCTGTCTAAATAGTACGTACGCATGGGGAGTGTATTACCAACCAACGCCTCGTAATGCAAATATGACAATCTCAACTAGATGGAAGAATTTTGAAGAAATTGTAGACCTTAGCTTGATGAAAGATGCGCCCAACGTGCATCTCTATCCATCTCACCATTCTCACTGTAGCATTGTCAGCAACTGTTTCCCAACTCTCTTCCATCGCAACACGTAACTCCCCATGCAACATACCTACCAAGTCAATCGCCAGCGAATAAAGTCGCGCAAACCTACCAATCATACACCCACCCAGAGTTTGCACTCATGAACTCTTCACAAGCTTCTTTGAGTGCAATGTTCGGTCTCAGGTCGCTGATTGTAAGTGTCTCTCGGGTGAGCGGGTCGGTAGGGCTGCGCTTCAAATGCTCAATTAGTGTCGCGCGCTCGTACGACCGACCGTTCTTTGTGACTACCGGGTCGTGCATAATTTCAAACGTAATACCGTCAACGAGGTAGTCCGGCACTTCGCGTTTCTGTTGGTTGTCGGGGTCGGAAATGGCAAATGCCGTTCGTAGATCATCGCGCTTCTTTTCAAATTCCTGTTTCCGCTCTGCCTTCTCTTCTTGGCCGTCTGTTCGACTAGTTTCCCCAGCCTCCATGCGAACATCTATCTCATCCATGTCTTTTTTGTACTGTGTCTCCAACATAGACTCAAGATCCGAGAGAAGATCCCCTCGTCTTCTTATGCGCTCCCGTTCCCGGATGTCCCATTTGGCCTTTTTGCATTTCAGAACTAGGGCAGATATGGTGGCGGCATTGGAGGTTTGTTGCGCCGATGTGGTGCATAACTCGTAGGCCATAAGGGCAGATGATAGCGCCTCATTCGGGTGATTGATGGCGAGTTGTGCTTGCGCTATACGTACATCAATTAGCCCATGGGCCTAAGTTAATATCACGCCTTTATGCTCGACGTGGTTAGGAGACTAGACGGGACCGCGTCAAGGCAATCAATCATACGTACCCAAGTAGAAAAAAGCTTTCATGTTGTCTTTCAACAGTTCAATACTCCGAATGCAATCGTCAATAACACCCTCCCACTTTTCCATCTTTAGCCTCGCATTTGCGCGATTGGTAAAGAGGAGCGGGTTGGCCGAGTTTTTCTGGATTGCCTGGGAGTACAGGGTCTCTGCCCCTTCATAGTCGCCATTTTTGAAGCATTTGTTGCCGGAGTTTTTGAGTTGCTCGGCGGCGTATTCGTTGCCTGGCGGAGGCATAACGGCGCAGTCAACAAGGTAGCCGGAGAGCGAGGCTGGGGGACCGTCGAGCGGAAGTGAGAGCGGAGTTAGGCTTCGATGATTGGTAGGCGGCGGGGCGTGGGGCACCTTTTGTTGCGCCTCGGTATGGAAGATTCGAGATGCCGAGCGCGATGCTGAGCTGAGCAGTGCGGAGACGGCCGGATAGAATCAGGGCACAAAGGTGATTCTCCAGAAAGTCACTCTGTCTATGTAGTATGTACTACCACCAAGATGGCCGTTTGCAGGCGCCACGTCTCTTGACCTCACCACATGCACAGCCACAATGCGATTATGTAAGCTTCCATGGCAATCGAATAGAACATAGTAATAACTTCGCGATATGTACGTATGCCAGAGAGGAAATGATTGAAAAAAAAACATCTTCTGCCAAATACGCTGACCAAATTCTACCCCGTGCTGCGCCCTTCTCTTATGGATAGGAAATGTAACGTACAACCCCAGCGCCATCCTAGACTGCTACTGCACACCGTAATACTGGGCGACTAGGCCAGACATATGTAGAAGTATGTACTAGTGTCGCCGGTCATCATTCATGTGGGGCGCTGCTGCAACTTCTGTAGAACCCACAGTCCCCACTTGCATGTGCCGTTCAACCTCAACCTTGGAGTCCCTCCTGTCCACTTTGTAAAGGTTAGGATAACTCCTCTGTCGCCTAATCTCCGCTGCCAAATCTGCTTCATCCATTCGGCGCCGGCTAGGCGGTGCACTTCTCTTCCTGAACCTCTTGACATCTTCATCGCTCTCTACACACGCATCTTCATCCTCGAAAAGCGGACTTCGGGTTCTTCTTCGGTCGATGCTTCTGTTGCGTGCTCGACCCCTGAATGTATGGTCGGGTTCGGCATCACTACGCCGTCTGAGCTTCTTCTCTACCGAAGTGGGTGGGGAGATGGATAATGTGGGGGAAGATGGACGGTGATGCTTGCGGTAGTGGGTTCGGTAACGCGAGCCGCTGTTGCGATCGTGGCCGCGAGAGGGGGAGGAGGCTCGGCGAGGGGAGTGCTGAGATGATTGCCTACGTCGCTTCAGGCGCCCACGCTCGTCCGCATCTACATCGGGTTCGACAATAGCTGGGATCTCTGGTAAAGTAGTATCTTGAACAATCGCAGACTCGGCGAGCGTGTCTGCCATGGTGCCTGGCGAGTTGGCTAGTAGAAGGTGATATCTGGGAGACTTTACCCTCAGCTATAAATGGTAAAAGTTGGGGTAAGCAGACCAAAAGGATCTGGGCACACCAGATCCTTGACCGAGTGGTTCATCAGTCTCGTGTCTGATGCAGACGGGCCGTTTGGAAGGGTGATCGTCTGTGCCTGCAGGTGAGCATCATGTCCCAAGCATGACGGCAATGGGGTGTAAGGCAGGTGTAGCGTCATTGGTCCGAGCGCTGTGCCGTAGCGCCAAAGTTACCCTCATGTGTACTGACGCGACGCCTCTTTCTTCCATCCAGAACCTGGCTTGCCGATTTATGCCAATATTCCAAACTCTGTGTCTCGGCCATTAAAACACTGTCTTGCCTTGGCACACTGTGACTGAGGTATTCCCTGTTCTAGAAGCTTGCCAGCTGCCAGTAGCCGGCTCGAAACGAATAGTTCATGACTAAGTACCACGGACTATAACTAGTGAATTATAAACCATTTCGGACATAAGAGCCAGAGCAAGGTTGACATAATAGAAAGCTACTTGTAGTAACTAGTGGATCTCGGAAAGAAGCGAGCGAAATGAAAGCCCGGAACAACCTCGTCAAAATCAGCCCGATGGTCTCTGCTTGTATACTATTTACTTCGAGTTAAATTTTTTCGCTTACATATACATCACAAGTCATCTGCAATGAAACTGACTTTAATAGAAATTCTCCATCTCATCATGGCCATCCCGTTTCCTATCTAGCCAGCTGATCAACTCCTTTATCCAATGTATCACACAAATAACCCCTTCACCAACCCCTCGACAGCATCGTAAACAGCACCGTCTTTCATCCCACCCGTTGCTCTTTCCGTGATAATAGGGATCTGATCTTTGCCGACCTTGTAGTTACTCAGATCGTTACCCAACTCCAAGTCCTTGACCAGCTTCAAAATCCTATCCCCGACTATTTCCGCATCCACCTTGGTGTCCCCAGAGGCACTTTCGCCAATAAACGGAAGGAGACGGGCGATTTGCTCTGCAGCAGCAGGATCTTGGGCCTTCAACTTGACAACATGACCGAGCGTAAGGCAGGATGTGATTCCATGCGGTATGCCATATGGAGAACCAAGGGCGTAACCTAGGGCGTGAGAGGGTCCAATGCCGCCTTCGAGGTTGTAGCCTATAAAACCTAGCGATCCATAAGCAGCCAGTTGGAGCTTAGTAATGTTGTCTTCGTCCTTGGGATCTTGTTTGTACTTGGGTAATGCCTCGAATAAAATTGCTGCGCTCTGCAACGCCAGCCATCGCGCAGGCATTTCGGAAGCGGTGGGATGATAGAGCAATTCCACAGCATGGTCCATGGCGCGCACACCAGTGCTCGTCCATAGCCGCTCAGGTGTGTATAGAGCAAATTTGGAGTCATAGATGACGACGCTTGGGACGAGCTCTTTTGCTCTGACGCCTATCTTCACTCCATCGAATCCTGTGTAGCCTGCTATGAAGGTGCATTCAGCTGCACCCAGAGTGGTGGGAATAGTAATGTGATATAGAAAGTTTCTAGTCTTTTCGTGTAAACGATAGCTGATGGCTTTGGCGCTATCGATGGGACTTCCACCGCCAATGGAGATGACAGTGTCGATAGTTTCATCTTTTTTCACTAATTCGGTCGCTTCATCAAGTTCGGCAACAGGTGCATGTTCGCCAATCCTGCTGAAAGTCCCGGCATGTTTTTCCCCCAAGAGCTCTTCGACTTGCTTCACCAAGGGAGTCTTGCTAGCCAGCGAGGTACCCGTAATGATAAAGGCCTTGCTAGATGACTTTGGGAGGCAGGCAATTAGATACTTCGTTACTGAATCTGCGCCGTAATACAGTCTTTGCAGTTGTGTGGGCTGCCATAAGCCAGAGAGAGGGTGGTTCGTCGCCTCGGTCATTTTGGGCTTGGATTTGGACCGTAGATTTGTATCGCACGCTGTAAATAGACCCAAGGAGTCTCGCGTCCGTAATGTTACAGTGATTCGGAATGTATGTGTGTGACAGAGGCTTCCTTAATTCACAGCTCCTTCTGTTGACGCTAGATTTCTTTCTGATATACAGCGGGCGGGCAAGAAAAGAGATCAAGTTTATTGTAGTATGAACACGAATTATGTACAAATGCATGGATGAAATCGAGGAAAATTTGGAACGTTAACAACAGATGTGTATATTACAAATTAGTTTGAAAAGCGGAAGCAGGCAGCCTCGGAAAAAATGCCAGGCTTTCCTGAATAATTCGTATATGGTGGGTCGTGATGGTAAATCTGACATTTATTGGACAAGTCGTATGCGGCCAAGGACAGGAAGTGGGAACGGCAAATGAAGAAGATAAGTAGAAACAAAAATTCCGCACCCAACGATTCATGTTTGAGACATGCATGTGAACATTTCAATCGTTGATTTAGAGCGGAGAAGTTAGCTGAGCGCTACCATCTCGCAACTCCAGGCTATGGTACACTCGTTGGCTCCGCCATGGATTACGTCATCATCCATCCCATAGTTATATATTTTGTTCGCCAGAGGATATCACCCTTCCGTTATTCCGACATGAACCAAAGATCCGTAGTAGTAAAACAAACGCTAATGTGAGAAGAGAAATCGTCAAATATGATACACAGATGCTCAAACACGGAGAGGTATATGGAAGTCTACACATGTAGACCTGACAGACCAGCCGTGGCCGAATGCAAGACGCCTGCTTTTAGACGTGAAGAGACACGAACGGAAAACACAAACCCCAGGCAAACGATTGAAGCGCTTACTGCTTCTTCTCGCCTTCACCCTCGGGCTGTTGAGACTGCTCGCTCTGATTTTGGCTCTCAGAGCGGGCCTTGTGCATCTGGTCGAACAGGCTCAGAGAAGCGTTCTGGAGCTCGTCGGTCTTCTCCTTGATCTCAGCAGCAGTGGCAGTACCCTCGCCAGACTGGCTTTGGGAGATGAACTCGCGCATCGAGGCAATCTTCTCCTTGATCTTCTCGGCCTCGGTCTTGTCAAGACGGTCCTCGAACTCCTTGAGGGCCTTCTCGGTGTCGTTAACGACGCTGTCAGCGCGGTTGGCGGCCTCAATAGCGTTCTTGCGCTCCTTGTCCTGCTCAGCATACTGCTCAGAGTCCTTGACCATGCTCTCAATCTCGGACTCGGAAAGACCGGAACCAGAGGCAATGGTGATGGACTGGTCCTTGTTGGTAGACTTGTCCTTAGCGTGAACGTGGACAATGGAGTCAGCATCAATGTCGAAGGTAACCTCGATTTGAGGCACACCACGGTGTGCCGGAGGGATGCCAACAAGCTGGAAGTTTCCGAGGAGCTTGTTGTCGCGGACGAGCTCACGCTCACCCTGGTAAACCTTGATTTCGACAGCGCTCTGGAAGTCAGCTGCGGTGGAGAAAACCTGGGACTTCTTGGTGGGGATGGTGGTGTTGCGGTTGATCAAACGGGTGAAAACTCCACCAAGGGTCTCGATACCGAGCGAGAGAGGAGTAACGTCGAGCAGAAGAAGGTCAGTGACCTCACCAGCAAGGACAGCACCCTGGATAGCAGCACCAATAGCAACAGCCTCATCAGGGTTGACAGACTTGGCGGGGTCACGACCGAAAATGCTCTTCACGGACTCAGTGACCTTGGGCATACGGGTCATACCACCAACGAGGATAACCTCGGAGATGTCAGTGGGCTTCAGGTTGGCGTCCTTGAGAGCCTTGCGGACAGGCTCAACGGTGCGGCTAATAAGAGGATCCATCATCTTCTCAAGCTGAGCGCGGGTCAGCTTGGTGTTGATGTGCTTGGGACCAGAAGCGTCGGCAGTGATGAAAGGTAGGTTGATGTCAGTCTGCGATGAAGAAGACAGCTCAATCTTGGCCTTCTCGGCAGCCTCACGGATACGCTGAATAGCCATGCGGTCGTTGTTCAGGTCAATGCCCTGCTCCTTCTTGAACTGGTCGACGAGGTGGCGAACGAGGGTGATGTCGAAGTCTTCACCACCGAGGTGAGTGTCACCGTTGGTGGACTTGACCTCAAAGACACCGGACTGGATCTCAAGGATGGAGATATCGAAAGTTCCACCACCAAGATCGTAGACAGCTACGACGTTGTCGGTGGCCTTGTCGAGACCATAGGCGAGAGCAGCAGCAGTGGGTTCGTTGACGACACGGAGAACATTGAGACCGGCGATCTGACCAGCATCTTTGGTGGCTTGACGCTGGGAGTCGTTGAAGTAGGCGGGGACGGTGACGACAGCGTTCTTGACGTTCTTGCCCATGTAGGCTTCGGCAGTCTCCTTCATCTTTCCAAGGACGAAACCACCCACCTGGGAAGGCGAGTACTTCTGTCCTTGAGCCTCGAGCCAGGCATCACCGTTGGTGTGCTGGACGATCTTGTATGGGACTTGCTTGATGTCACGCTGGACCTCAGCATCTGTGAACTTGCGACCGATGAGACGCTTGGTGGCAAAGAGAGTGTTCTCTGGGTTGACGACAGCCTGGCGCTTGGCGGCAATACCGACAAGACGCTCGCCTTCCTTTGTGAAACCAACGACTGACGGTGTTGTACGACCACCTGTGAAAAGTTTTTATTAGTATTGCTGTCGGAATCAAAGTGACGTTTATAACATACCCTCAGAGTTCTCAATAATGCGGGGGACTTTGCCCTCCATGACAGCGACGGCAGAGTTGGTGGTACCCAGATCAATACCAATGACAGAGCCCTTTACCTTCTCTTCGCCGCCCTCAGCATATCCTCGCGCAAACATGGCCGGAGCCCTGAATGCGGGAGTGCGTCTCGCCGCCGAAGCCGCACGAGGCAAAAACTGCGATGAGGTCAGAAAATGCTTCAACAATGATTATTGTTTCAATTGCAAAATTACTTACATTCCGTGATAACCTTGAGGACAGCATTGTGGCTTGTGTAAGACGCTGCGGAATTGGATGCAGGCGACGAAAAATTGGGTGTAGAATGGATGGGTGGGAGGGTGGGTGGATTATATGATGTAGTGATGGAAGCTTTGACGATAGACAAAATTCTCGGAGAAGGTTCTAGCTCGTTTTGGTGCTGGATTGCCGTCCGAGGTTCCGCTGTAAATGTCTGTGCTTCCGAATTGTAGCGAAAAATGTACGACGCGACATAAACCCGGAAGAGGAGGCGAGAGGCGTATTTTTGCCATTACACAATTGGCCCTGCCGCCACAACGGCCCTGTGGTGGTGACATTAACGACTGTCCCAGTGCGGAAGGCTTGGCGCATGCGTGCGCGTGTGGGGGAGATGCTTGTCGATGGTGACGCCCGGAGCACCTCGAAACACTGCCACCCTTACGTCCATTCGCACTGCACCCTATTTCCAACCCTCGATCAAGACGCCCTCTTATAGGAAACAGCCCTAGCACTGCATTCTCACCCGAAAATTATTATTATCTACTGCATTTACTCCCTACATTTGTGCGCTCAAGCATCCTGTGACGTAAAGCGCCTCCTACCGCCGAGCCTCACCAGCTGCGCTCACTTATAAGCCAGACACGGAGACATGCACCCCTCTGCCACCTGACCGCAGAATTATGGCAGTCGATGACATTCTGTGCGTATTTGAGCCTGTCTTTCTCTATTTCCCTTTTTCTAACAGCAGCAGGAGTCGAGACACGGATACTTTTGTACTGGTTCAGAAGGCCTACTATCCTATAAAGATACCCATCGCGTGAGTACTGTACGCCGTCCAACTCTCCGTGGAAAGCTAACGTTTATAGTCATTACCAATTACGCCATTTCATCTCGTGTCCCGAACCCGACCTTCTCTACTATGCGAGTGGCGCGGCCGTCTACTGTCTCAATGCCGCTACACGAACACAAGCACACGTAACGACGCTACCCTGGGAAGCACGCTGCACTGCATCCGGATACGGCTATGTCTGTGTTGGAGGAGAAGAGCATGGCAACTTTGCTGCCATCAAGGTGATGGGCTTCCCTCCTGCAGACCCATCAGACGTCGATGCCTCGCTGCCTCTTGAGTTCGAACACCGCCTGTCTCGGCCACCCCTTCTGGGTGCTGCGTCGCACATACGTCTCGAGAAGATTGGTGCCGACATAGTCAACTCAATATCGATACACAAGATGCCTGGGGAGAGCGGTGGTCAGGATGAAGTCGTGGCGGTACTCACCAACAACGACAAGACAGTGCGCATATACTCGCTCACACAGAATCTGGAACTTGCGGTACTCGACCTGCCCTTTGCGATGAATCATGCTTCAATATCTCCAGATGGACAAATGTTGGTGGCTGTGGGTGATGCGCCCATCGGGTACTTTTTTGAGAGAACAAAATCACAAAAGTCTGAGAACAAGATGGCGGAAGGGTGGATACAATCAACCCCGCCGGAGTGGGAGCTACTCAAGCACGTGACCTTGCACCGGCCTGCAAACTCGCATGCTGATGGTTATTTTACTACGGCGTGGTCACCATCTGGCCGTCTTTGTGCGGTTGGGTCCGAGTGTGGATACATTACCGTGTTTGATGTTGAACTTCTGAAGATAGTCGAGTATGGAGAAGAAGCCATTTTGCAGTTGCTCAGTTCCACGCGACCTGATACTCGGGCTGGGCCCGGTGCAGTACGAACAATGCACTTTTCGCCTGCGCCATGGGACTTTCTCGTATGGAGCGAAGATCAAGGCAGAGTATGCATCGCTGATTTACGAGCTGGTCTGAAAGTCAAACAAATAGTCACATTGGATCCAAAAGAAGAAGGCCTAGAAAGCGTTGAGCTGGCTGATTTCGACTTGACTCTTAGCCCAGAGATGCATGAGTTGCGTCGCGAAGCAGACTTTATTCGGAGATATCGCCGTGCACTCGACACTGAAGGAACTGCATCAGCTGTAACCGCCACAAACGAGTACCACTTCGAGGCTGATTCCGAGCGACAGAGGCTACATCGCCGGCTGGGCGTGGTTGAGTCAGACAATGATCCTCTTGGTTTGACAGCTCGCGAAAGACAAGTCCTCAGTGCATTACGAACAAGCCACCGACAACGAGAGGAGTCACGTGAGCAGGAAATAATCCCCCGAAGCATCAACTACACGGCTTCTGGGCCATTGGACGCTGTGCCGTATGTTGCGTACTCATTGTCATCGAGATATTTGGGCTAACATGGTGTAGAGAACCTACGGCTAGAGAAGTTGCCGAAGCCATGGCTCAGTTCATGTCTGAGAGGACGGGTCAGAATCATGCTCCCCGCTGGTTCCATGAGCGTACAACGCCTCGACGCCAGGCTTCTGTCATTGTCTCAATTAATGAAGGCACGATCAATGCGCCAGTAACACTTACGAATATTACCGATTCTGCCATTACGCGGTCGCCAAACCCAGTGCCAGCACAAGCACGTCGTATGACTAGCGAATTGATGGCATCCACTGATGAAGCGTGGCGCACAGTCGAGCAGGTGCTTACCGCTGAGCAGACACGGGCTGCAAACCGTAACACAACATCACATCCATCTGCTACTGACAGCAACACTACTGTGCCTGAACTGCGTAACGAACTTCGTCGAATTCGTCAGCTAACACAAGCACGTGAACGTCTCCGAAACGCGCGTGCTAGCCAGACTTTAGCAGACACGTATGAAATGAGTCTTGGTTTTCGCCGCCCGAATCGCCCAACTCACGATCCACGTCTGGGTGTGCGCACAGCGGGGCTGGCCATGAGCCAGGACGGGCGAACACTGTACTGCGGAACGGAAGAAGGTATCTTCGAACTCAAGATGAACCTTCATGTGAGGAAGGGATTTCCTGCAATCAACCCGCGATAAATTGGTGCAAACGAGGGAGGTTTAAGTTTTCAAACTCTGGATTGAGTTGTTTCATGACGAGCGGGCATTTGTGGCGTTTATGGTCGTATCTTCAGCACCGGCATTCGTCTTGGCGGACAGATTCGGGCGCACTGCATTTTGTGTGGTAATGATTGTATTTGTTTGTGTAGGCTTAAATTGTTCGAAGCAGTTATACCCGTGCTTTGAAGTAATTGGAAAGCATTTGCATACCTCGTGGGCCAGCGAGTGACTATTTTGTGAATGCTTGAGGTGGGTTCGTTATCTCAATCTGGGGTAAATGCCCCCCCTCCCATGTTGCTCCGGGTGCGGAACCGTGCGGGCGATGTTCGGAGCAAGGGAAAAGTGCCGATTTGCCCTCGATGGCGCAATTCCAGCGGTGACTCCCCACAGGCCAGGACTAGAGTGCCTTGCAGATGGCCTGTGGAAGTGCCGTTTAATGCTTTTGATGTTTGGACTCACGCACCCGAAAGCTTAAAGTCTGCGGATTGCATCCATTGTTGCTGCACTAGACCTCCTCTGTACTTCAACACTCGCATTTCGTCATTCCCTCGACGCGCATCACAGATCTTGTGAGCCCTACGCCACTCAATCTTCCTTCCAGTCCGCAACGCGGACGCACAATACTCACCATGACCGGAGAGAGCTCCAAAAAGGCCAACGCCAGCGGCAAGGCTGCCCTTCCGCTCGACATTGACGGCCATAACCTACCGCCCTCGCCGGCGCCCAGCTCGCCCCGTAATGGCAGGAAGTATGCACTGATGACGGAGCTGGTGTACACGGAAAGCAGCGACCAGTACAATGCCAGCTCCGTTCCCATCTACCAGGTAAGCCAATACATTGCTGTGGATAAGGACAGTTGCGTTTGAGCCGCAGCTAACACTCACAGTCTGCCACGTTCAAACAAGAGTCTGCAAGCGGCGGCGGCGGCGAATATGACTACACACGCTCAGGCAATCCCACACGCACACATCTCGAGCGACATCTGGCCAAGATTATGAACGCAAACCGCGCGCTCGTTGTTTCGTCGGGCATGGGCGCTCTCGACGTCATCACCCGCCTCCTACGACCCGGCGACGAAGTCATCACCGGCGATGACCTGTATGGTGGCACAAACAGACTGCTCAAATATCTCTCGACACATGGTGGCATAATAGTGCACCACGTCGATACCACGAATCCTGAAAAGGTGCGCGAAGTAGTGAACAACAAGACGGCCATGGTGCTCCTCGAGACACCAACGAACCCGTTGATCAAGATCTGCGACATCCCCACCATCGCCAACATCGCCCACGCCGCCAATCCCACTGCCATTGTTGCAGTCGACAACACCATGATGTCGCCCATGCTATTGAATCCGCTCGACCTTGGCTCTGATATTGTCTATGAGTCTGGCACCAAGTACCTCTCTGGTCACCACGATCTCATGGCTGGTGTCATCGCCGTCAACGATTCCGCTCTGGGAGATCGACTCTACTTCACTATCAATGCTTCAGGATGTGGCTTGTCGCCATTTGACTCCTGGTTGCTCCTTCGCGGTATCAAGACTCTAGGTGTTCGTATGGAGAAGCAGCAGGAGAATGCCATGCGCATAGCCACTTTCCTCGAGTCGCACGGCTTCAAGGTCCGCTACCCAGGCCTGAAGTCGCACCCGCAGTACGACTTGCACTGGAGTATGGCACGTGGCGCTGGCGCTGTGCTATCTTTTGAAACGGGTGATGTTACTGTTAGTGAACGCATTGTCGAGAGCGCGAGGCTCTGGGGTATTAGTGTAAGCTTTGGATGTGTAAACTCGCTCATCAGCATGCCTTGCCGCATGAGTCACGCGAGCATTGACGAGAAGACGAGGAAGGAGAGGAATATGCCTGAAGACATTATTAGGCTATGCGTTGGCATTGAAGACCCAGAGGACCTAATTGATGATCTGAGTCGCGCTGTAAGTCCCCGACGACGCTATTCGGGAATTAAGATGCTAACAGGGTATAGCTTGTGCAAGCTGGTGCTGTCAACATCACGACCGAAGGCTTCCAGGCCCTCGCTGCAGAGGCTCCCGCTCCTACGCAGCCCTCAGAGGCTGCTCCTGCTCCTACGGAGTCGTGAACAAAAAACACACTCTAGTCACCGCTGTCCTGCTTTGAAAATGGCAGGTTAACGTGATACTCTTTCTTCTCTAGCTGTCAGAGAAACACTTCGCTTCGCAACTCTCTCTGACCCAGTCACCTCTGTCACTGCCTCTTGTTGGGGGCATAGTGTTAACGTGATACTTGTCTGCTTGGTTTAGCATTGCGCGACGTATTGCTGGTGCTGATGAGGGCTAGCATATTTTCCTTGTCGTCGAATAAAAACCACTTGCTACAAGCGCGTGTCCATGTTCATGTTTTCTTGTTTTTCCGTTGTGATTGCACATGCTTCGCCGGCCGACTGAAGAGTGATGAAAGGGCAAAAGGTTTTGGTCTCGGTGTGAAGGGCAGCGAGGGAGCATAAAGGGACCGTTTATGTCTATGTTTATACTACAAACTGATCAGAAGGATTTACAAAAGATGGGTCTTTGCGCCTGGACAATGTACTATGACCAATGGTCCGTCTGTATTAGACCGATGGGGCCGAATACGGCCAATCCGGTGACTTGGGTGCCAAGAACCCGGGAGGCTGACTTGTTATATGAAAATGAAACCCGGAGCTCCGTTACCTTTGCCAACATCTCGAAGTCCGCCTGAACAGCTGTATTGGTTTGCAAGCAACTGGCATACTCTGAGCATTGCTTGAACCGGTCGGGCGTGCCTGTTTAGTTTAGGATCCTCTCTCCCTCCAAACCCCTTCCTTTTTTTGAAACCCGTCTCGAACACATAGCATCGCGCCTGTGGAATGCTGATGCGGGGAGTACCTGCGTGCCTGAAACAATCGCCAGGCACGCCTAGAAGCTTCTTCTGCAAAGGTGACAATTGACAAGAGTCGTTTTTCTTAGCATTGTTTAAAAAAGAAGAAGTTGAATTGAAAGAGCTCAACCAGAGTCTCTATCGATTGTGAAGAGGGAAAAAAGGCTGGGCAGCGATCTAGTTCCGGCGCGCCGCCAGGACAAGGTACACGCGCGCGCGAGCGTAAGCGCGAGCGAAAGATCAACGCCAGATACGAGAGAAAACAGCAAGGACGCATTGCGAATTGTTCACGATGTCAATGCAGTTCTTGGAGCTTCCCCGCGAACTGCGGGACATGATCTACACGGAGATGCTTATGCCGACTGAGCCCCTCCCAAGTGGTCAAGACACACAAACAGCGGCTAATTGGTACCTGGTACGGCAGGCACATCAGCCCAGCGTGGACAGCAGTCGATGTTTTGTGTCGTCGCGAGCGATGCCGAGCACGTGTGCGAGTGTTTTGGCGAGCAATCGCCAGATTCATCAAGAGATGATGCAGATAGCCGGCAAGGCCTGGCAGGCGGGGCAGCTGGCCTCACGGCTGGATTGTCTTGTGCTAAACAACGCGCATTACTTTACTTGGCTTGCTGTGCCATTTGTTAGGCCGGCGGACGGGAGCGCGCGGAGACTAGATGAAGAGAGGGGGAAGAGCTGGACAAGCAAGATTATGGAGAGCTGGAATTGGGTCGTCAACTTTTTCAATGCGTGGATGGAGAGTGATGTCAAGGGGAGAAGCAGCAACAGCAGCAGCAGCACTAGACTCTTTTCTTATACACGGTCCTACGCGAATATTGAACGGCTGTGGGTGGACATTCGGCCGGTGGGATCTATGATATCGAATGGGTCAGGGTCAGCAGCAACGCATGGCGAAATGACAAGTTGGGCTATATGTGCGGCTCTCAAGCACATGTTTGACAACGGTCCAGATATGATGCGCAGCAACCGGCGTATAGACTGCGTAGACGAAGTCATTCTGAACGTAGTTCCACGTGCACGCACGGCATCGGGGAGTCCATGGGGAGACGAAAGTGACGAAGATACACTGGTGATAACAGACTCTTCTTCCTCTGGCGAGGCCGAGACGGAGCGCCTGCGAAACGAACTGGTGGATGTTTGGGACAAGATCTGGGGTGCGACGGATGGGGGGGATATGAGGGCAAGGTTGTACCGCACGCTGCTTGAGAGAATCAAGCGCGTGCGGATATGCGTTGACGGAGTGACTTTTAGGACCAGAGGACTAGCGGTGGAGCTGGAGAGGGGGCGAGCAGAAATGAGGAGGATCCAGATGCGATAATACATAGTAGATGGCAAATGGGGCAGGACTCCAGGTTTAGAATGGGCATGTTCTTGGTCGTTCACGGGTCATAGCTGGGTGTGGAGACGAAGGGCTCGGAGATTAGTTGACTGAAGCATGTTTGGTGCGCGGTTTTTTTTTCTTCTCTCTGGTTCTTTTCCTTTTCCGCCGTTCAACGTTACTTATGCCGGGCTGTGGGGATGGATGGATGGCGGCAAGGAATACGACGGGTTCTACGACCAGCATGCCGACGAGGTTCCTTAGATGTATGTCGCGTTAGGGCATGTGACCGTGTCGTGGAACATGGTGGTATTCCCGATAGCGACGGGTAGGGCGAGGGAGGCGCTGAAAATAGTGTGGGAGCTAGAACGCCACAGCCATGTCCATGGCAATCTAGAAATGGCAGACGGACGAGGCATGTCCATGCTTGTGCCGCGACGCTGACGAGGCCTTCGGTCGCTGAGTCAAAGGCACGGGCTGCTATTGGCTGGGCGGCGTCAGGGGCAAGGGCGACCCTCGGTTCGGCACGAGACTGTCCAGACCTCCCTTTCTGCATCCTGCCACTCCACTTACCAACTGACACCCATTGACACTCACGGACACTCACGCCCATCATCGGTCCTGACACATGTGTAACGCACGTCGATCCAACATGTCATTGTCCGCACCATGGCCATCACACGCGACCGCAGTCATGCGGTATCAAGGATGCTGAGAGCACACCCCGCGATCGCAACGATTGCTGCAACAGAGACACGGCAATCGGCGCCAAGTAGTAACAGAGCAGCCAGCACGTACTGAACCAGTGCCAGCAGATGCCAACTCCCCAACACCAAGAGAGACCGCCAGTGGCGTACTTGGCACGGTCAACATACGTTTCATGAAACAGTGCTCCGCGTCGCACCCCTTGCACCTTGAGGCGACTGAGCATTCTTTACGAAAGGCCCCCACTAGCATCCCCCCGCGCAATTGGCCAGTCGCCGCCGCCTTGGCTCAGGGGCACACTGTGCAAAACGGCCCCTGCATGCCAACCGGCCTCGCCATCGCATGTCTGACCATCCATAGCCGGTGCCAGGACCCGCGGGAGTGAATCCCCGTGGGCGCCACTGGGTTACGCAAAGCATTTTGTGCAGATGCTGCCATGGCTGCCATTTTGCGTATACGCCGCGTTTTATATTTAAGTACACGCTGCTTGATCCCTACTCCAACTTGATCCACCCTTTCGCCTTGTTGCTCTCTTATTCAGAACGTTCCCTCCACACGTTCTTTCCACTCTTTGCATCGCTTCTTTGACTCGTGTCACTCTCTACACCTCGAATATTTAGTGGGCCTCTTTATTGTTTGGCTCTCTCGCCTCTCGCTATAGCATTGACCACTTCTCTGGCCCGGTCCTAACATACCATATACTACTTCAACTGCTGGCCGGTTGCGCGCTCATATCTTGTGCGTTTTGCCGACACAATGGCGGCGTCAACGACTTCGACGTCCAAGACGCTTCGCCCGGACAACTTGGAAATCCGACCTACTTCAAACGGGACTCACAGTGATGTCGAAGACGCGCCAATGTCCCCACGATCATGGCGACACCGTGCTGTCACCTACCAAGTTCCTTCAAGGCGCCAGACCACTGGCAGCCTCGATGCCGAGGACTACTTTGTGAGCAGCGCGTTCCTTTGATTGTGTATACAATTGGGCTAACAGAAGTGCTCAGGTCGGACCTCGTGACATGGCCAAACACAGCAAATGGCCATATTTCATGCGAATGCACGGTTCCGTCTTTCCTAAGATGATCTTGCCAATCATTGTTATTACTGTCTGGGCAACTGCAATCACCTGCATTTCACAATTCGTTTATCCTCTCGTTGTTAGCAACTTGCTTCTCACTGTCCTTGGTTTTGTCGTCGGTCTGGCCATTTCTTTCCGCACAAGCACGGCTTATGAGCGCTACACCGAAGGTCGCAAATACTGGAGTCAACTCATCTTCGTCAGCCAGAACCTGGCAAGGACAATCTGGATTCACGCCAAGGAGCGCGACGGCGACCTTGGTAAGGAAGACTTGCTTAACAAGCTGTCTGCCCTCAATCTGCTCAACGCATATGCCTGCTCCATCAAGCACAGGCTTCGATTCGAGCCTGGTATTGACTACCCCGATCTCCGCGACCGTGTTGAGTTCCTCGACACCTTTGCTCGTGCTGCCGAAGTCGACATCCCCGCTCCCGCTGATAAGAAGAAGTTGAAGGCCGTTGGTGAATACCTCGGCGTCACTTTTGCCGAGTCCAATCCCCGCAAGAGGATCAAGCGCTCCAAGAAACCTCTCGGTAACTTGTCGCTCGAAATCCTCAACCACATCTCTGCCTATGTTCATAGCATCATCGAGAACGAGACCTTGAATATTGGTCTGTACCAAAACCAAGCGATTACCAGCATCGTCCAGCTCAACGAAGCCCTTATTGGTATGGACCGTGTCCTGCAAACCCCTCTGCCTATTGCCTATTCGATTGCTATTTCTCAAATCACCTGGGTCTACGTCATGATGTTGCCTTTCCAACTGTGGGATAGTCTTCGCTGGATCACTATTCCCGGTTGTATCTTCGCAGCCTATATCATGTAAGTTTTCTATGGATACACATTTAGTCGCTTTACATCTGCTAACCCAGTTCACTAGCATCGGTCTCTCTGCCATTGGTCGCGAAATTGAGAACCCCTTCGGCCACGACGTCAACGATCTGCCCCTCGAAGCCTTCTGCGAAGAACTGGAATTGGACATTGACTACATCACTTCTCAACCGCCACCTGCTGCTCGCGATTACATGCGCCGCGATGGCAACATGCCTATCTGGCCGCTCAGTCACAAGAACTACAGCAGCTGGATGTTGCGAAGCAAGCAGGATATCCGCGATGCGCTCATGACCAAGACAAAAGCTGACATGATTGTCCGCAAGAGCTTCGCTGTCCCAAGGGAGAGCGAGAGCATTGAGGAGAAGGAGCAGGGTATATCGCAGCAACCACATCACCATGAATCATAGGTGTGTGTAGGTGACAAGTTGTCGCTGAATAAAAAGTAACATTTTGAATTCGTCATTACATCCTTTTTTTGATCATCATTAGAGCGGTTTGGCGCTGGGCCGGAGTTTATTCTTTTTCTAAAACTCTACTTTTTAAGCCTGGTATCTTTGTAAATGTCTTGAGGACCTTCACCCATGTTTTCGAGAAGCGGAGGGAGGGGAAGGAAGAATGTGCATACGTCAATGGGGGGACCAGTGGGTAAGATCACGTATGCCCATGGTTTATGGTACGGCTGCATGATATCATATTACCTTATCGACGAGGCGAGATTTAAGTATAATGTCATCTTTACCATACATTTCTTTACTTGCATCATTTCTCTTGTCATGATTGGATGATTTGATAATGGCTCTGGTGACTCGAATGCAATAAGGAACGTGTGTGATATGTGAGCATGAAAGTGGAGTGGATGGTTTGGGAAGGGCCGCGAAACAACAGAGTTCTATCGCATATCTCCGGGTGTCCAGGAAGAGTCTACTTTAGTATTTTCGATCACATGTGCAATTTACATATGCTTTGATGTTGTGAGAACTGTAAATACTCTTGTCCACATTCATGTTCAAAACTAACGTCCGTCACTACGTGCCGGGTCGCATAGTGTGACGGGACACCTTTTCTTCCGGACGCTCAGATTACCTATGGTAATAGGCTGCGCCCATGAGTGAAACACGTGATTGTATCACGTGCCCTCTTCATACCGCTTAGTCACGAAACCTTATTCGTACGAAGAAACCTAAGGTAACAGTATAAAGTGAGAGACGCCGTACAATAGCTTTACTTTCTTTGTCTTTCTTCTTTTGTAACATAGGTTGATGCATACTTGTTCGAAGGCCTCTTCGCCCTTAACAGTGTGCATTTAATATCTGCATTTCAACACCACTTCAAACTGCACTTCTCTAATAGTTACGAGCCTTGTAGGGTCTTAAAAGGACCGAAAAGCGCCTACTAAGCCGTGTTCTCGCTTAGCAGGCGCACACTCCTCATAAACGACCTCTGTACAACGTTCTCGTAGATTTCTACTAGTCTATCCTGAAGTTATTACCTAGACTTTGTACTCCCCGTGTATCCGCCAAGGAAATCTATTATACCGCCACAAATCTGCCTCAAATTAGCATCTACTCACTCCAGACTTAGGTACAACCCCTTTAAACTCCGGATACCAATTCCACTTCTAACCATCTATCAATCCCAGACTATGCCTCCCAACAATCTCCCCCACCTCGCCCGCTTTATCGAGTTCATCAACTCGGGCGACGCGACCATTGGGCAAGAAGTCGTATCCGAGTCGGCCCTTTTCCACGTGCCCTTTGGCCCTGAGCCGCTCAAAGGGCTAGACGGGTACATGCAAATCCTAGGTATGATGCGGTCTGCATTCCCGGACATTAGCTGGACGCTGCAAGAAACTATTGCCGAAGGCGACAAAGTCGTCGCGCGGTTTGAAACGCGAGGGACGCACCAGGGCGCGTTTATGGGCGTGCCGGCGTCAGGAAAACAGATCTGCATGACGGCACTTAATATTTACCGGTTTGAGGACGGCAAGATTGTGGAGGAGAGGGGACAGCCGGATATTTTTGGATTGATGGTTCAGATTGGTGCGGTGCCTAGTGCGCCGCCGGCTTGAAGTTGAGGTGGAAATGTAGGTACAGTAACTCGTATCTAAACAATACAAGTCGCCACTATAGTGTCTTGTAACACTCGAGACAGGAATGTATGTTGTGTGGATGTAAAGAAAGGAGCCATGTCGCGCATACTTTGGCATACTATTTTGCAGCCGTTCAACATACGGTTACTTGCATCGCCGGATAGTCGTATAACCTTAAGCTAAGCGCCTGTTGGGGTGTATATCTAGAATGTCAGCTTCCTGCAAATGGGTTGAGAGCCCGGGTCTTCAGCCACAGTGCGCGGCAAGACCGCACTCCAATATCGATGTATTTGTTTATTGGCTCCTACTCGGTTTCAGCCGTGTGCTGCACAGTTATGCCTGGAGTGATAGGCGTGGCAGACAGCGGACGTGGTGCGGACATTGATCCATGCCGCCTCACTTCATCCCTTGAAAGGGACCGTCTGTCCCGAAAACCTGTCGTTTTCTCTCAACTACTATCCAAACTATGGCCCAAACCTTATTTAGACAGTGGTTCTACTAATTGCATGCTGTGTTTCTAGGCTCGTAGAGGCCCGCTGCCTCATCTGTCGCGTCCGCTGTACCTACAGTCTCCCCCCAGCGCTCGGCGTTGTCTACTCATCTCTGATCACTATTTGCCTAAGGATCTATGTCTGCTCTATAAAATCGATAGCTTTGGTGGCTAGCTGTGACTTATTAAGGACGGCCTAGAGGTTATGTCGTCTAGAGAGGTTTCCAAATACCTAGTTGCGGAGGTCCTTGTAGATTCTGTATTAGGGTAGGATGTAAGTAGTAGTCTATCTTCTCCGCACTCGCATCGTGCGCTAACGACTTCTAGCACTCTTTAGTTAAAGAGGAAGTCGTTTAGTCTAACCTTTTCTATTTGCATCTAGACTAGTAGAGCGCTTTCGCGCTTACTAAGGCTCTCGTGTAGTTTAAGCACCTTCTTTATTGGTAGCGGTGAAAGACTGTAGGTTGCTCTTCCTCTACTTTCGGCTTTCCATTTGGCTGCCCATGTGTCTTGCACCATCTCCTCAGCGTAGACTTGAGTGGATACAGTTTGGGAGGACCCTCTGCTGGTGGGCGTCTGCGGCCATCCACACTCTATCTAGTTGCGTCCTTGGCCGCAAGGCACTCTAATATCTTAGCACGCTACTGCAAGCTACTGTAAGCTGTAATGGGCGGGCTTTTAGTGCCTAACGTACAACTACTTACGTCGACCATTTTGCCAAAAAGGCAGTAACAAGACTTGAAGCTTGTCTTAAAGTCAAGGTAGTTGTGTAGATATACTCGATTTGCTTGGCCTAGCCAAGCCATATACATGGGCGTAGCCCCTTACAGTATTAGAGAAGAGTCTATAGACCAGTTATACTGATAGAATAAGTAATAGTATAGTTGTCAGAATATGGGTATATATTGGGTGGTGGACGAAATTCGGGTGCGAATCGGAGCACTCGGACTCTGTGGATCAGTTGGATTAGTGAGCACACACGATCCACCGCGATCATACTCAGGGGATCAGCGCGGATCAGATCAGACAGAAAACAACAAGAACAACACGATCAATCAAGAATCAATTACAGTGAAATATCACAGTTTACTCCCGTCTTTGATAACCCATCACAATCTGACAATAGTTAATAATGCGCTTTTTAGTCTTAGAGACTAAGATATTAGAAAATAAAGGCTATAGAATGGATAGTTATATATTATATTTATCTTAATATAAGCGTACTAGGGATATTGTAAGCTTCTAGAAGAAAAAGTATCCTGTTACACTATGCGTCCCGGCACGTAGGGACAGACATTAGTGGGTAAGCAACTCCGCGCGAAAGCCCCACATATCGGCCAAACCTTCCGCCGCCCAAAATTTCGAGTTACTCCGGGAACTTTTTTTGTCTAACTGACAAAACACCCACACCGGATATTGCCTATAAACCCTTGGAAGTATGTTCGCAGTACCCGGATGGAACGTCTCCGCGCAGGTCAAGACGCAGGTCGAAGTGCCCAAGCCAAAGGATCAGAATAAACCTGGAAAGAAGGCGCAGAAGCGCAAAGAAAGGCGCGAAGAGAAGGAGGTCAATGTGGATAATTTGGCGGAAAAATGGGAGAGCATAACGAATGGAAAGAGTGGAGAGGTCAAGCAGAGTAAGACGTCGGAGGCAGATGGCGCAGTAGAGGCAGACGATGCGGCGCAAGAGAAGCGCGGGAAGAAGAGGAAGAGGGGAAAGGCTGGAGGCAACAAGGATAAACAGCTGAGTGAGGATGCCACAAAGGAAGCAGAAGAAGTAGCAGAGGAAGTAAACCCTTCTCCTGCAAAGGCTTCTGCAGAAAAGAGTGCAGCCACCGATGGCGAGTCGAAACGCGACAAGAAGAAGCGCAAGAAGGAGTCCAAAGCCGATAAACTCCTCGCCGCGAACGCAGCCGAAGAAAAAGCTGTGCCAGTGGTACCAACCCTCGAAAACCTCCTGCCCGAGCCCAAGGGTCTCACACCGCTGCAACGCTCCATGCGCAGCAAGCTCGCCAGTGCCCGTTTCCGCCATCTCAATGAAGCGCTCTACACGAAACCCTCTGCCGACAGCGCCTCACTCTTCAAAGAGGACCCTTCCATGTTCGAAGACTACCACCGTGGTTTCGCACAGCAAGTCGAAGTATGGCCCTCGAATCCTGTAGACAGCTACGTAAACAGCATCCTTGTCCGCGCCAAACTCCGCGACAAAGACCAGCGCAAAGACCGCAAAGCACAAAACAAGGCCGCCGTACGCCGCGGCCCTGGCTTCGAAGACGAGCAAGAAGCCACTTCTATCGCGCCTCCCCGCGGCGACGCAAAGCCCCTCCCCCGCGACTTCAAAGGCCACAGCACAATCGCCGACCTAGGCTGCGGCACGGCCTCGCTCTCCTACCGCCTCCAACCGCACTTGAAATCCTTAAATCTAACCTTCCACTCCTTCGACCTCTCCAAGCCCAGTGGACCCTCCGCCGACCTCGTCACCGTCGCCGACATCGCCGCCCTGCCCCTCGCCGACAACAGCGTCGACGTCGCAATCTTCTGCCTCGCCCTCATGGGCACAAACTGGCTCGACTTCATCGACGAGGCATATCGCATCCTGCGCTGGCGCGGCGAACTCTGGGTCTCGGAGATTAAATCCCGGTTTGGTCGTGTCGATAAGAAGAAAGGTGGTGTACCGATTAATTCCATTGGGTCGCTGCGGAAACCTGTGGATAGTAAGAAACTTGCCGCTACGGCGGCGGCGTCGAAGAACAAGAAGAAGGCAATCAAAGGGGAGAAGCCGCCTGAAGAAGGGCCTGAGGATTCGGAAGATGAGGCGGAGTTGGCAGTTGTGGTGGATGGGCAGGATGCGAAAGAAGGAACGGATGTATCGGCTTTTGTTAATGTTTTGCGCAAGCGCGGGTTTGTGCTTGATGCGCTGCCCGAACGACCCGGTGATGCGATTGATCTGAGCAACAAGATGTTTGTCAAGATGCAGTTTGTCAAGGCGGCGCATCCCAGCCGGGGCAAGAATGCGCGTGATGATCAAAAGGAGGGAGCGGTGGCGCAGAGGGGTGGCGGGCTCAAGTTTGGGCTCAAGGGCAAGCGTATGGGCTTGGGTGCTGGGGATGAGGATGAGGGTGAGGAGGCAGACAAGGCTGTGTTGAAGCCGTGTTTGTACAAGATTAGGTAAAAAAACAAGGGGGAGTAGGTATTGCGGAGACATGTGTGCGGGGTCACGGGGTTCATGATACTCTAATAAAATCACTTTCAAAGAGAGTTTGATTCAATCATAAATCTCTTTTTGTTTCGTTTTGCTCTTTACTACTTGTTGTTCACGTCGTCCTCAATGAAACCCTTGTGTATTCCAATCGTGCTTGTTAGCAGTATACATGTAGGATATGCTATGTCGTACCATGCCAACGCCATATTTTCCATGAGTTCGTCTACTCGGTCGTCCAAAACCATGTGCAAGCCTCGAATCAACTCCATACAAGGGAACTCGCGCCATACAGGCCTATGGCAGTCCCGAGTAAGCGTCATTTAGGAAACCCTCGACATGTTGATGATTCCGAGTATGCCTTCCTTCTATCACTGATTCAAAGTCGGGCGCTAACCGCCAATGAGGAAACTTGCAGCGTGCTCCACGTTGCCGCCAAACATCTCCAGGGCCTGTATGGCTTCTTGTTCAGAACAGCTAAACATGCTAGTGAGCTGCTGGACGTGTTCGCGGGGAAATCTGGAGTTTGGCGCAGCAGGCGCAGGCGCTTTGGACGCTGTTGGCTGGGTTTGTGTTTGTGCGGGTTGAGACGATGATGATGATGATGCGCCAGTGTTGGAGGGGCCAGCTTGCGAAGAGCCTTTGGGTCGCACAGCACCAGTCTTTGCACCAATCTCTTCACCATTAGGGCCGGAAACGGTGGGTTCATTCAACTCGGCCTCCTCGAAGCTCCTGGGAATCTCCGACTCGTGTAAAAAGGGAACTTCCTGGCCTTCAAAGCATAGCGCGTTCTTCTCGAGATCGATCTTGGCACGGTAGCGCTTTAGCATATCAAGACCAAAGAGAAGATCGACGTCCTTGCCTTCCATGACAGTGAAGGCGCAAGGCATAACTGCGCCTCCAATCTTTATCTCAGCATGGTGAACACGACCCAAGATGCGCGCTGTACCGACACCACGTGCCATACCAGCATATCGGACGTCCATCAGTCGCATGATACCGCATCGCTCTGCGCAGTCGGGGGACATGATGGTGGCCTGGGCGCCAGAGTCGACAAAGGCCTTGACGGGCACGCCATTGACTTCGGTGTTGACGTAGAGCATGTGTACGCGCGTGAAGACTGCATCCTGTCAGTGTTTGTGGTTTAATCGATACCACAGCAAAAGCTGAGAAGTTGAGGGGTTCCAGAAAAAAAATGTATATACGCGAAACCATGCCAGTACTCACCCTCTGGATTCTCGTCATATGCCTTTTGCAGATTCTCAACAACACGGTCCTGGCGGATAATATCCTCAATCTTGCGCTGGGCCTCGACGTTGAAAGGGTCCTCGTTGAGCAGGGCGATTTGGTTCTGGCGCTCGCGCTCTGATTCCTCTGCCTGGCGTTGCCTCTGGGCATATGTATTCCTCCACCTGGTGGGGTCGTTGACGGCGGCGGCGAGTTCCGGGTCAGCCTGGCGTAACTTGTTCATCTGCTGGGGGTCGTTGAGGACCAGTTGTCGCACACCCTCTGGATCCGGCTGGGCTGGTCTGCCCGACTGGTGCATGTTCCTGTTTGGTCGAGGTGCGGCGCGCAATACAACGGCCAGCATCTCACCATCCTTGATACCGGCATCCTCTAGTGTCTGTGTGTCGATGGCGACGGGCTGGCCATTTAGGTAGAGGCTCTGTGCGGCGGCGGGCAGGCTGGTGTCGGCCTCGATGAAGCCCTTGAGGTCCTTGATGGTGCTCCCGGGAGGCAGTTCGAGCGTCAGCAGGTCTGCGTCGGCGCTGGTACCGGGCGCAGTGATGGATATGGTGACGCGCGGCCTAGAGAGGGCAGGTTAGCAGTGTGCCTGGGAGGGTGGCGGCCGTGGGAGGCGATGGTGGTGGGACAGAAACGGCTCCGGGCTCGACTCACATAGCAGATCGGGGAGGGGCGCTGGGGCGTATGCGGGCAAGTCTGGAAGCGGGCAAAGAGTGTAGCACGGTGGCAGGGCCTTGAGAGTCTTTGTGGTGTTTGGTGGCAGCAGAGGCCTTTGTGGATGACGGTTGCCGGCTTGGGGTCTCAGAGAGGCTGGAAGGAAATGGAAGGTAGTGGAGCCGCAAGAGCAGCGGCAGACGGATCAGATGAATCAGCGATCAGAGGGCACAGGCTGCAGGGCCGCCATGTTGTGGGAGTGGGAGCAGCGCGTACAGTAGGGCAGCAAGACGGTGACCCTGTCATGTACCAGCGTCTTCGGGCTGGGACAAAGGCGTGCAGTCGAAGGAGCACCGCCTGTCATGAGCTGAGACGACGTCGTTGGCCGTTGGGAGCAAGGGGGGCAGATGGGGGGCAGAGGAAGCGGGGCAGTCCATCCCTACTGCTTTTACTTTTACACTACTACGTACCTACCCTACCTATCTACTTTACATAGACCTACACAGTATACATACACAAGTACATACATAGATACGAGCTTATCCCCCATCTGACAGGCACAAGATTGCCCAAACTCCAATCAACACGTTTCCGCGGTGCGGTGCAGTGCATGCGGGGCGAGTCAATCTATCTGGCTGTTGCATCTCGTGTCCAGGCCCCATCGGCAACTGGACGGATCCCGTAATCTTTCAGGGTACGGTATGCCCATGTCCCAACCCGGGTCACGTGCCCCGGGGATCTACAGCGGCAGGCCAAGCGAGCCGCTAGTAAAGGCGGGGCGAGGCCGGTGAGCGAGTCCCGTGACCATGCCCACGCCTAGAATGTCCACCCTGTCCACCCTATCCACCCTGTGCTCGCCCGTCTACTACTTGTCCTGCTGCAGTGCCATCCATACTTTCTCACCTGCTGCAGCCGCCGCCGCCGCCGCTGCCTGCATACTCCAAAGCAATCATGCCACGAGACCTGCTGGCCGATAAACAGACGCTCGAGAGCATGCCCAAGCTGTCCAGAGAACCAGACGCCCTAGCCAGCCCGGAACCCAAGGAACAGTCGTCGAGTCTGGTACCCCATCGCAGCTCAAGCATTGCCCAGGAAGAAAAGCTTAGGCAAATGCGTCTCCGTCCCTACTCTTCCCTACTCAACATCGACGATCTCGATGACTGCGACTGGCTTGAGCATGCCGCTTTCGATCCCATCGAGGCTGCTTCCCGAGAAAAGGTGAGACCGATCCTACTACATGGCCTCCTCTTTCCTTTCTTCCTCTAGTCGTGGTACTCTTTTGTGTCTGTGTGCTTCAGTGTCAATCTGTCCAGTACCACCTTTGGACTACACCTGCCATCTGCCACCAGCCTCTTCTTCTCCTTGATTCACGCTACATTACCTAGATCAACGGCCACTGCATACTGCCTGGTCATGTGCTTTTCACCATCCGTCATGTCTTGTGTACATTTTCGTCGTTGTGCTACAGGCCAGTGGCTGCATGACAATCGCTTGTGTTCCTTGCTAACACTCGACCTACTGTGCCACTTGGAATCCCCCACTAACCTCTTCTAGCTCGACTACCGTCTGCGAACATGCGGCGAACTTTGCAGCGGCCTCTTCTCATCCGCCTACCCCACCACCTCAGGGCCTCTGGGCGAGATCCTCAAGACACGCACCTTTCCTTCAATAAATTCCACCGACAGTGATCGAAAACGCATTCTACTCGCTCACATTATATCCACCAAATCCAAATCCCCTCTCGTTACCGATGACGCCATGGACTATCCAAAGGACTGGAAGACTAACTACCAGCTAGCACCTTCCACTGGCCACAATGAAGACGGCCAAACTGTATGTCTCCACTCGCTCTGTGTACACCCCAACTTTGCCCGAAAGGGACTCGGCTCTATATTATTACGAAGCTACGTACAAAGAATAAAGGACTCAGGCATCGCCACACGCATAGCCCTCATCTGCAGAGACCGATACATTCCCTTTTATGAACGAGCAGGCTTCAAGAAGATTGGTCCCAGCAAATGCCAGTACGGCGGCGGAAACTGGGTCGACATGGTGCTCGACTTTGAAGACGGTGGCCACGACGGTTGGGATGACTGAGCATGAACCCTTGCATTTATGGCTGTTACTTTGCATTTGTACTAGCGACTGCATGCTTACGAAAATATGTACAAGAGACCCAAATGGTAGTTATCCAAAGTGCTACTTCATGTGAGCAGTGGAATTAAGGAGCCTCCATTTGCCGTGAATCGTCCCTCAAGAGACAAGTTTCTCAAGCATACTGACTTCGATCTTCCCACTTCGGCTGCAGCTCCTCACCATCAATCTCACCAAACCCAAACCCACTCTCATACCGCGCATATTCCACCAATCTCAGCGTATCCAGCTTGGCCCCCTTGTCCGTCTGCGCCCACACAACCACACTCAGCGCATTCTCCCCTCTCATATTGAGTATACCAGGCGGAACTGGGAACCGCGTCTGCGGCCCAATATGCGGCACAAACTTGCCATACTGGTATCCATTCACAAACAGCATGACGCGCGCAATCGTGCTCTTGGGCGCCCCCAGTTCAATCCCAATCGGAACATCAAGGTCGGCATCGATGTCAAGCGAAAAGGTAGTAGTGAACCAGCGTATCGCAGCGCCCTCGACGCCTTCGACCGTCGGGCTTGCAGACTCCCAGGATGCAGTGTCGAAGCCGGGGAGGTGCCAGCCTAGACGCTCGCCGTATAGACCACCTTCATTCATCGGGCCACGAACGGGATCTAGGTTTTTCTCGCCGCCAGCATTTCCTTGGATCTTCCACTGGTCAAAAGGTAACTTGGTTCCATTGACAGTGAGGAGCTGTGCGCCTAGGATACCGCGTGGGTTCTGGGCTCCTGCCGGTCCTGTGGACGTCTGGTCGTGGCCCGTGTAGTCGGTAATCACTGTCAGGACATTGCCTTGTTCTAGCAGTGTTGCGTTGCCAAAGGATAGCTGCGCTGTAGTTGATGTGAGTGAGGTGTTGCCTCCGTGGTATCCAAGGGGTTGTCCGTTGAGCCATGCACTCCATCCTGCAGCTACACCTCCTTGTACTGTGATGTTGAACCCTGTGGCTGCCTTGCCAGAAAAGTAACCGCGATATATTTTTGCGCCCGTATAAAACTTGTAGTCACTGCTAAAGAGAACCGGTAGTGTAAGTGGCTTGACTGGGCTGAGGGTAGTCGTCTTGTTCGCAACAGCCCAGTTGCTGTCGTCGTACGAGGGCTGAATTTCTGGTGATGAGTCTGCAGCTTTGAAGTTGGAAAGCGCTGGGAGTGCGACTTGGCGATCTGCAGTTCCTTCGATATTGGCAGTAAGAGCACCGTACGGTGTCTTTGTGGTGTCGAGTTTTCGGCCGTTCCAGGATATCGTCTTGACGTTTGCACCAGCGTAGACTTCGATCGAAGTTGCATTGGCATTATCGCCAATGATCGCAACTGTCCCATCGGCAATGCTTGCCGACCGAACAAGATAAGGTCCGTGGACAAAAATTTGTTTATCGGGCGTGACGTTGGGATCGTTGGTCGTTGGTGGTGCAAAAAATGTCCACGCCGATGGGATATCCAAAAGGTACGCCAGAACCCCATTGGAGAACTCGACAACTGTCACTCCCTTGCTTTGTGTAAAACTAAAGCGAGAATACGTTCGGTTTGCCTGTGCACTTGCAATGTCGGACTCTGCGCCCCACGACTTGAAGGTCAGGTTACCACGCGACTTGAAGGCAAACTCGCCAACCTGACCTTGCCGTGTGTAGAAGATAAGAACAGGGCGATCAAACAACCCGTACGATGCAATCTCCGCCGAAGAGTAAAGCAGTGTCTCATTTCCAACCGCATAATCCGTGACAACCCATCTACTCTGCCGCCCCGCAAGCTGCATACTAGGGATCGTCACATCGCCCGCGGACGTCTTGACCGTCATGGAAAATCCAGTCACATCCCTCGTGCGCGTATTGTTGTTCTCAGCAAGGTAGAACCGTGCATCCGACTCGCGATTCTTAAGCTGCCAGGTCCAGATGGCGGAGCTTGAGACGGCGTTCGCTGTGCCGTTTGCTTCCATGACGGTATTGTGCAGGCCTTTGCTCACACGGGTGAAGAGAGCAAGAAGTTTGTACTGCGAGAATTTTGGGCGAATCTCGCGAGTCTCGCGGAGAGGCGCATTGTAATCGTATGAAGTGTAGACGACAGGTGCGGCGAGTTGACCCCAATTAGTACCGCCATAGGCCTGTAAGAGTTATTAGTTGTCGTCAATGTCATTATACCACCTACTATCTCATTTACTTGTCTGAACGAGATATAAATAGAACATACCATGTACAAATTCAACAACGTAGCCCTCTGTCCAACCAACCCCTTATAAAACACATCTGCAAACTCCGGGCTCTGCTCCGCCTTGCACTGATCAAAAAAGTATCCACCCCACGGCTGAAACCAGCCCCCTTCAAACTCAGGGAGATACTCTGGCTGCGACGGTGACACTTCCTGGAACCACTGATAATACGTCCTGGGCAGATTAAACCCCGTGTCGAGATTTGTGCAACTCATACCACCAGGATAACTATCCAGCCCATAGACATCAATCGCCCCACCGACATTCTTGTAGTCAGACGACCAGCTCTTCGATCGGAACCCCTTCTCATTATGAGTCAGCGGAACAATAATGCCCGCTTTCTTGAACGCGGTTTTGAGTTGCTCCATGTACAACACCAGCGTATCATTAGCTACATATCGCGTCTGCTGCAATTCGTTTTCCACCTGCGTGAGCACCACGGGTCCGCCGTTTGTAATCTGATTTTTCGCAATGATACTTCCGACTTGCGCAACCCATTCGGACCATGTCTCGCGGTACGTGGCGTCGCTCGTGCGGTATTTCCCACCGCTGCCGTCGCTGGTCCATAGAGCGAAGCCTCCGCCGTTCGTTTCGGCGTTGCAGTAAGGGCCTGGGCGCGCGATAACGTAGAGGCCTGCTTCTTGAGCTGCAGAAAGCAGACGCTGCAGGTCTTTTGCTGGGGAGGTGAAATCGTAGGTGCCGCGTGAGGCGGAGTGGTACGACCAGAAGAAGTAAATGCTTACGGTGTTTATGCCGTTTGCTTTGAATTTTTGGAATACGTCGGACCAGAGGGCGGGGACGGGGAGGCGAGCATAGTCTGGGGGTTGAGACAAAAAGTTCGTTAGTTAATACCCTCTTTACGTAGTATTTGCTTTGGCTTAGGGGAGTAAGTAGAATGTACATACGAAATTCTCCACTCATAATCATGATGCGCTCGCCTTTGATCATCAGCGAGCCATTGTCCCATTCCACAGTCGTCTGTAGCCCATTGTTCGCGGCGAGAGCGCTGTAAAAGAGCGATGTCGCGACTGCGACGATGCGTGAGAGCCGCATAGTTACGTCCCTTCGCACCAAAACACAGTGTCAACGAAACCAACAAAGAGAGACGAGAAATGCCTTCGATCACAAGTTACGAGCGACGGGCGGCCGACACGGCTTATGTGCTTCAACCCATAAGCTCCAAATCTATTCTTACGCCCATTCACTAGTCAAGAATGCTCCCTTCCCTGTGCGTACGTAGCGCAACGATATCATTGACGGTACATCTTTGCTCCCCGCGCCCGCCCGGGGGGAAGAAATACCAGAGCTGGACCGGCGGGACGGGCTAAATTCGTACGCAAGGTACCAGTCGTGTATTACCACCTGAGTACCTGGGGAAGGAGGTTATTGGGTGGGCGGCGGGATAAACGGGACATCATCCCGCCGAGACGCCGAGACGGGAACGACATGGCTTGTCTTTGAGGCTGCGGAGGCGAAGGGGCCGGGGTGCGTGATTGGGATGGTGAATGTGGGGTTGCTGAAAAGGAAGGTGGGCCAGAAGAAGTAGGTATTTTTGGGGAAATGAAAGTACGAATTTTTTTTAAAGGTTGATGGTTTTTGGGGGTGGATGCAGTCTTATGTGGGTGAACGCAAGTGGGCATGGGTGGTAGCTTCCTGATTGCAACACCGCCTTTTTGTGATAGTGAAATATCTAATCCTCAGACGGTTTCTTTTATTTTTATTTTCTGACGTGTTTGTACGATGTTTGAAACACTATCGGAACTTTTCGAATTACATAGGAAAAATCCTATAAGAACAACTTCGGTTGCTCGCTAAGACTGTGGAAAACATATAAGCAGACCATAGAATACTATGTTTGATTTCCTCACCCTCACACTTGTGACACAAGCAGAACATTGTTTTATGGTACTCCTCTTAGTATTTTCTTGATTGGAAATGAGAAGTTGCAGAGTATCTGCCTCTGCAACTTTTACCTCTTTCTATTCTACCGACATACGATTACATAGTGAACATAGGGTAGTTGTACTTTGTAGATTTAGGAAGATCAACCAGTAGCCTTGCCGTAAATTGAAGACTTGCCCGTATCATCGCAACAATCGCTTAGGATGACCTAGTGAAGATTCCATTTGTGCTCAACTGGAATGACTTACCAGAAATTTGGACAACTCGGACTGAAATTCCCTACATAGAAGTACACAGCAAGCCTCTTTTACTCAGCATTCAGCTTACCTCTACACCCAATATTTTGATCAAATAACCGAAAACTTGCATTTCCCATGATGATTGACGACACACACTACCGACCCCTCTTATGCTGAACCTCTACCCTTCCCTCATCCCACATTCCTTGGCCATGGCCTTGCCCTTCTACCAAACTATCCATCTCCATACAACCGAGCTTCCCTTCCTCATCCTTGCCCCCCAGCAGCACAGGGAAAAGCGTAAAAGCAAAGCCGGTCCCAACCGCAAAATACACCAGCACCGCCATTCTCCGCAACGCATCTCCCTCCTTTTGCAATGGCAAACTATCCTTCCAAGCGCTCCACATGTATGCCGACATACCGCACACGAAGTTAGTGACAGCCAGCGAGATCAGCTCATAAGGCGCCTCCATTAGCGTCAGAGAAGTAAGCGAACTCTGCCATACGAGATGCTCACGAGAATCGCGATACTGGACGCCGTTGGAAAGCCATATACGCAGTGCAGACGCGGTGCGAACGAAGCCTAGTTCGCGTTGCTGGATGCAGGTGAAAAATGTAGCGAGTAGGGAGAGCATAGTGCCTTGTGTAAAGCAAGAACGTACGACAAACGTCGTATTAGAAAGTTCAGGCAGCGACATTGCCTGGAGTGCTAATGTTGCTAGCAACGCGCCCTAGAAAAAGATTTAGCCATCATGACAGCGGGGGTGAGGCGGGGTACGTGGTAGTAGCAGCAGCAGCAGCAGTAGCAGAACACGCCTTCGAAAAGACGAAGAGATGCAAAATAGGATAGGATAAGAGAGGGAAACATACAACCAAAGCCACAAGCCTAAACTGCTCCAACTTTGCTTCCCGCAACTCAAGCACCTCCTTATCGGTACCTTCATTGATTATATGTTCCAGCACCTCCAGATCCCGCGCATCAAACAGCAACCACAGACGGTAGCGATACGACGGCCCGTACCGTGCTCGCGCCCACGCATTGTCGTTCCACTCACGAAGGCGCGAAAAGCCATTGATCAAATAGCGTGGCGCTAGCAGAACGCGAGCAGCTGCTCGCGCCGGAAGTCCCAGGGCGCTCCAGATCTCAGCTGTATTGGACATATATGGCGAAAAGATCAAGAAACAAAAAAAGAATAAAACGACAGGCGGGGGAGACTACGGCCCTTGCCTATGTACGTAAAGTACACATGCTATCCGGCCAAATTGTTCCAAGGTCCCCAGATCCCATGGCAAGGGGAAGGTCCCCACTTTCTGGGCTCCTTGAGGCTGACAAGGCATGCATGCGGTATGGTTTTGGCCCCCAAATCGATGGGGGGTGCTGCGGATGCAGCGCCATTATTGGCTCATGACGGAGATATAGGACAAATATAGCATACCGTCGCTATTGATTGCGCATAAAGTGTGGCGATGAAAGATCTGGACGGGAAATGCATATTAAATCGGAAGAGTTGAAAGGATCCTGGTATTAATGCAAGATCGATCTAGAATATCACGACTAATCGCGGACTATGTACGCTTGCCTTTGGCAAGTTTACCAGATCTAGTATGACAGATGTACCACGTTTCTCTATGCACTTGTTCCCGAAGCCTTTGCCTTTTCCTGTGCCTCCAACTTTCTCCGTGCGGCCAAAATCATTTCCTCTCTCCTCCTTTGCAGATTCGCCTGCCTCTCGTTCTTGTCCGCACTCCAAGATTTTGATTTTGGCTGCTCTTCTTGCGCAGCCTGGGGTGTCTCGTTGATCTTTGAAGATAGGTTGTATCGTGTGATCAGATCGGGATGTGAAGGCTTCGCTGGTGCAGCGGCTGGTCGAGCTGGTGCAGGTGAAGCGCGTGGTGCAGGTATTTGGAAAGATGGTGGTGCCTGTCTCAACATCAGCGAACCAAGTTCTTTTTGACACATGCCCATGAATGAATCCTACCGTATCCAACCCCCTCCCACTCAGCGCCCTCTCTGTTGTTGCTGCAACATTACCACCGTTTCGCTGCAGATCCCAGGCAATGTCCCTTCTACTCAGTTGCGGCAACATCTCGGCTACCTGGTCAATCTGCGCCAGATTGATACGGGGCGTGGCGCGGTTTGCGGCTGCTCGCGTGCCAGGCGCTGCTGTTGTGGGTTTGCTAAAGTACCATCGCACAGCCAGGAAGGTGACGACGATAAATACAAGTACCTGAGGAACGTTGATACTTTGCTCCGCCATGGCTATTTCCTCAGTATGTGCCAGAGGGTGTTGAGACAGTGCTACAGGGCCAGTGGCGTGCCCAAGAGCGACTTATGAAGCGCTGAGTGCAGCAGTAGAAAGCGACGCGCAGACGAAGTCGGTATTGGGTCTGTGGCTAGTAAAGTGATTATGTGCCTACGGATGACGTCCAGTCCACGGTGGGATGAGTGGTATCGACTCAAAGGTTAGTGATGTGTCGGCTTTGGTGGATGAGTTGAGGTTGACATGGATAGTTCGGAGGAGCCTCGGCGAATCGCCCATTACCGAAACGTTGCCGCCTTGACCCCTTGTTGACGTTCACTCTCCGACCCACAAGACCCCTCCTTCTCCACACTCCATCCTAGACCCTTATCTTGACGCGCTTTATTAAGTTCAGGTACTTTGTCTGAACTGTCCACTCTCTTGGTTTTTGCCATTGCTCCACGACAGCGTGATGCGTTGTTGTTACAAACATCTCTCTTCATATACCCTGCTTCGCGCCAGTTACGCGCCGACATTCATTAAAAAATGAGTTCTTCAATGATTACCAGGAAACCACTCCCACAACCTGCGCAGGCGCACTTAAAAGATGGTTCTCCTGATATTGCGACCGCTGCCTTTGGACCAGGATTCAATGCCCCTGTGCATCATCAGGATGCGCTTTCAGAGCAGCAAAAGAAAGAGACGGCAATTGACGACTCCGCTTCTTCAATTGAGCAGGGTGTGACGGACAACCAAGGAACCGAAGGAAGATGGAATGCGTCCGGCGGAGGATTTTTTGCAGTTATAACAGGAGGCGCCTTGGTCTCAACTATCTCTCGCCGTCTAGATAACTTTCTCCCACCACACAAAAGATATTTCAATAATCGCATCAGCCGCCGTACACTCCTTATCATTATCGGCGCTTCCTTCATCCTTCTTTTGGCACTCATCATAGGTCTTGCAGTTGGTCTGTCTGGCAAGTCCGAGTAGGTTGCCTTTACTCAATCCGGCTTTCTTTGTCGTTGCTAATTCTGTGTGGTAGTGATACTGCCCTACCTCTACCTGGAGGGACGCAAACTTTCGAGGGCGACTTGACCTATTACAACCCGGCCCTTGGCGCATGTGGTCAGACTCACAATGATGGTGACGCAGTCGTGGCCGTGTCCCACATCCTTTGTAAGTCTTATTTCCTCTACTACAACGTGGCATATCGACTAATATTGTGGACTCAAAAGGGGACAAGAACCAAGTGGGCGCCAATCCCAACACCAACTCGTTTTGTGGCAGGAAGATTCGTGCCCACCGTATCAATGAGAGGACGGGCAAGGATGCCAGCATCGACGTGACTGTTATTGATAGGTGTAAGTACTCTAGGCCGTATTGGTCTACCCTATTTTTATTCAGTGAATTGGTGCTGATCGTATACCAGGTACCGGCTGCAAAGCTACCGACCTTGATGTCAGCCCTGCCATGTTCAAAAAGCTGGCCGATCCTGATTTGGGCAGGGTCACGGTGGAGTGGACTTGGCTGTAAGAGTCTTGGTGGCGATACTCTGCACATATCTATGCTTCGTTCTTTTGAGTTTTTGTCTTTTTACTTATTGATACCACTAACTATTGTATTCTTGTTTTTATATCTTGTCTCTGGTTCAGCATATTTGCACCATAATCTTCCGAGTTCGTGATCCCGCAGTACTCCATGTTGACGCTCGCATGAACGCATGTCTCTTTGATACCCCTCTTTGAAATCTTCAGCTATTATAGAGATTTATCGTTACAGAACCGCTTAATCAATAATATTCATCAGATCTGCATGCCTTTATGTATCTAAGAGGCGGCAGAAACCACAAAGCTTACCGCCACCTGCAGACACCGCAACACCCAACACCCTCACACACCCCAATATTTCTCAACAATATCCTTCGGCAAAATCCCCTCCTCACTCCTCGCCCGAAACACCTTCAACGGGCCCCCCTTGACATCGTACACCAGCAATCCTGCCCCACCTCTGATCCCCCTCACCGTCCGTTTAATATCCACCAGCAACCCCACCATCTTCCTCAACTTCTCCTGATTCGCCGCCTCCCATTTCCCAAACTGCTCTTCCGCCCGTGTAACACTAACCGAGTGCACAGTCCCCTTCTCATGATTCCCATTGATAAAACACGGCGTGCGACCGAACCATAGCTGCGGCATGGCGTCGGCCACGCGATTCAATTTCTTGGCTTTGATTTCTGCAAGGAGGGAGGGTGAGATGAAAGTGCCTCTTTCGATTGCGATTGTAGGTGCACCTGGTGGTTGCATGGGGGTTGCTGAAGATGCGTGCTCTGCTACATTGAGTTTCTCCATTGCGGCTGTGAGCGCATCAGCTGTATCGTGCTCCGTGTCGTCGTAGTAGGCATCGACTTCAAACCTCACAACGCAGTCCAGCGGCCCAATCCGATACCGAATCACTCTATGATGACTACTCGAATTTCCCAGATCTTTGTCGGGCGTGGTAAATGCTCTTTCGAAGTTATGTCCGTAACCGGAGTTCGGGGCACCGTGGACCATGTGCTGAGCGGTACGCTCTTTGCGGCTTATAACGAGAGTGTTGTTGATGAGGTTTAGGCCCATGCAGAAGGGGTCGAGTTTCTTGCCTGCGGATAGATCGAGGAGTTTGCGGAGAGAATTGCGATTGGCGAGAATGTCGACGGCGGTTAGGCTTGTCTCAGGATTCATGAGGGAGAGGGCGCGGAAGGCGGGTTCGAAGGGGTATTTAGGGACGCGGGCGGCGTTTTGGTCGATGAAGTGGTGTCCAGCGTCCTGTGCTAAGGTGGTTGGTAATGGGGGAGGTGTCCATTTTGGAGGCCCGCCGGGGACGTAGATGGTGCCGTCGTTTTGCCAGTTATAGCTGCAGAGAGTTTTGAAGCCCTCTGTGGAGTGGATGTGGTTGTTGTCGGGTTGCAATGATGTTGTGTCGATGGTGAGGATAGGCCTCCCAGTGGTCTCTTTAATCATCCATGCTATCTTCCATGTTGATGGTTTTGTTTTTGATGGTCCCCGTTTCGAGGCTGACTTATGAGTTGAATCCGGTGTGGATTCAGAAACTTTTGCTGGGTTTGGGTTTGGGTTTGGTGGCGTCACCTTGGAGTGCGTATTCTTGGCTAGTGGTACTCCAGAAGACGATGCCGACACAGGTACTGTGGTTAGTCGGGGCTCTTTGACATCAGGAGCTGGTTTCACAATTCCTGTAGACGAAGGAGGCGATTCTGTCGTTAGCGAAGCTTTCGCTGCTTGTATTCTTGCACGCGCACTGTTGCACTCATAAGTCCAGAGTCGACATAGATCTGACCTTGCCTACGTACGATTTGCTCGGACGTGGCTTGTTTTTCTTCGGCTTTACAGCAGTTTCAGAACCTTCTTTCGGAGCAGACTTTACACTTTCTGTAATCAATTGGCTCTCCTGAATTATCTTCTGAGCCCCAGGAGCCTGGTTTGCTAGGACGCCTGACGCGGTGAGTGGCGCGCCAGTTGCCTTCTTGGACTTTTCGCGCTTACTGCGTTCACGATAAGCTAGCTGTACGTGCGTATACTCTGGATTGAATAACTCACTGTTTCACTTGACGGCACCCGTCCTTGTGAGCTCCCTTTTGAGGAACATTGCTTGGATCCACCATGGAAGTCGCCGCATCAGTGGAAAATTAGGGTTGTTCTATTGACCAGGTGCAGCTGCAGGGACTAAGTAAAGGCGGAGCGGGGCGGGCGATAGGCTGTTTACATCCGATGTTCAGCTCGGCACGTCGTTACTAAGATATAATTTAACTTATGCGACATTGAAGAAATCTAACCACAGGTTCATGACATGAGCGTCAATGCTTCCAATACATCACTTAATTTCTGGCAAATTGCTTCAATGCTTATATATGCCTATGTATAGAAAATCTCAACGAAACGACTCCAAGTGTGTATGAACTCCAGAAACATTTCCCTCACTATACAGCTACCATGTTTTTGTCTAGCAGTAATCGCGAATGTTGTAACTGGAATATATATGGCTAGTCCTGCAAGCGGGGCTTGCACCCTTGACATAAAGGTTGGTTTCTGGTCATGTGTCAGCTTATCTCGCTAGTGATCGAGTTCAATGCGGCAACTTACTGTCAACAGGAAGATTAGCGGATGGCTGGCGAACAATGGTCTGGCTCCGATCTGCTGGCGTAAGATCATTTTCACATTGTATCTGGTTTTGACCGCCATTGACTGTGGTGCTGCCAGTCCATACGTCGATATGGTTGATCTTTGGGTTCGCCTTCCAGTCGGTGGTGCACTGGGCGCAGTAATCTTCGAAGCGCAGGTATTTGCGCAGGTATGGGTCGTATATGACCTCGCACTTGTTGAACTCGCCGGGCGCAGAGGCAAAAGTCAAGGGATCAGTATAGGTGCCAGTACCACCAGCCTTGAAACCACGGCCACAATCGTAAGCAGTCGCTGGGCCTAGTGGATTGTTAGCATTGGCCACTAACCCTGGTGTTGGTGACAAGGTTGTATCTTAACTTACCTGCTGGGTCGTTATCTGGGTATCCATAAAAGGTATGAGTGACCTTGGTCACTGTGCTGCAGCCCATAACGGTAAGGCTCAGGCTAGAAAGGGCGACAACGATTGAGGTACGCATTTTGACGGCTGGTGTTATGGATGGGATTTGAGTATTGACTCGGGTTGCTTGCTGCGATGTGCTGCTTGCATTAAGCCGGCAAGAGTCCTCTTATACTCCTCATCAGCTATGTCAGTGGAGAAATCTTTACGAGGTTCTATGTACAGCCTCAGCCTCGTTCGACCCCAGCTCTACCGTTTTGAAGAATAGTCCTTGGCCGAGAGTTCCATTTTCAGCAATAAACCAGATTGATGAGGGTCAAAAAACAGAAATAGAGCAGCCCGTAGTCGTCTGGTTACACATCAATGGTTAATCGGGTGCCGAGATTGCTTAGCGGTGCTTGTTCCTCTACACATGCCTGCAGCTAACCCACCGTGACAAGGATTCTTCCCCTTTTGGAACGCAACGATCTGCTTACGAAGCCAACTAGAGGTGACATAATCTATAAGATTTAGCCATTAGAGGGAAATGGCTAATCAAGTTCGCACTAGTAAGCCCAAGGAGCGTCCCGCCCCGAAACGGCCACCAAAAACGCCAATGCGATTGTGGTGTCATGGCGTGAACGGCGCTCAAATTTATGCACTGAAAGAATTAACAAGCACCAGATAGAGTGAGGATGTTCATACTGGGGTCCGGATTGGCGCACCCTGATTTTACCCGCCGGGCTAGTGTCTCTACACCCACGCACTGTACGTAGGTCCGAGTGTTCTCGCCCACAATAGGCGACCAGTAAGGATTTCTGATCGGCGAGGCTGGATTCTTTCAGCGACTCATGCTTGGTTGAACAGCTGATTTGAGGGATACAACCAGTTCTTTTAGTCAGCTACATGAGCCGCAGTTACGAGAAGAAAGCCCATCCCTTCGCCCTCGCTTCTGCCACTCTCCCGCTCTTTGGACTATACTCGCGAGCGGCCTAAGGACTCAGCAAGCCTCCTTGGCCCCGCTACAATGGTTCAACTCGGCTCCCATGCGTGGACGGTTCGCAGCCTCGTCTTGCTCGCTGCATTGTTCCATCTGGTATCCAGCTCAATCATTGCCACGTTCACGGACGATCAATGCAAAAATGCATTTCAAAGCTTCACTGTTGAAAACGGTTACCCCAATGGCACCTGTTCCAGATTGGCCGACAATGGCAAATACGGGAGTTTCCAGGTATGGACGAAAGCGAGACGACTGCCTGTAGGAAAAACCTAACGTCACTAGGTTGTCGGCCTCGATCCAGGTTGCAGTGGTGAGTGAGCAGTTTTGCAAGATGAATGCATGGAGTTACTGACTTTATCAGCGACAATCTATGGCGCCGATGCTGAGGAGTTTGTGCCTTGCTCTTCAACCGCTCTTCAGTTCGCGCAGATAGCAGCCTGCTACAATGCTTCATGGGTTTACTACAGCGTCGACATGTGCACTCCGCCCAACCCGACTATTAATCCCTCGCGTCCAACAGGAACTTCTAACGAAGCAAAAAACTCTAACAAGAATAATACGGGCGCCATAGTTGGTGGCGTCGTCGGCGGTGTAGGGGGTCTTGCTCTCATCGGCCTTGCCTTCTTCCTGGTCCATCGCCGTCATCGCAACAAGAAACACGCTCTTGCGCAACCACCTGCCATGCCGCCGCCGCCCGAAGTTGCCGGAAACGATATTAACGAGTTACCACAAGACGGCGTAAAGCCAGAGATTTATACATCAGAAGCTAACGCGCATGAGATTGGGAGAAACAGCCTATATATTCCACCAGAGCAGCCGCCTGCGGAGCTCGAAGGGAGCGCAGCTGTTCAGGATGAGAAACGCGGTATTTAGGCTACCATAGGAGGATTCTTGTAATATAATATGTATCATGGATACACGTCCTAACACCTACCAACCTATTACTAACAAACGAACTCTACTTTCTCTTACTCTCTGTATTGTCTCTGTATTGTCTCTGTAACGTGTATAAAAGACCTATGAAGTTATCTTCTTCTATCTATGCTAGGGGTGTGGGCGAGGTATAATTTTTGAAGAGGGATCACTTGACGTTAGCGATATCCTGAACCTAACTCGGGACAGGAAATAATCTCTTTACCCCCTCTTTTGCATGCTGTGTGAAGGCGGTAAAACCATAAAGGAACAGCTAGAGGGCGTGTTAGCGAGATGATCGAATATTTCCGTGCGCAATGCTAGGTATGTGAGAGTTTGGGCGCAGAGCTAGTTTCTCGTAATCATGTATAAGAGAACAGAGAAGACTCTTTCTTCACAAGAAATCAGTCCAAGATTAGGCTGCTGACACATTACGATGGGGATAGAAAGGAGTATAATCTTGGCAAAGTGCCCTGCCACTAGCGGAAGCCTGCTGTCGTACGTTTTTTGTTTTGTTTTTGCAACTTTCATTTTTTGTCCGAGTTGTGTATTGGCAAGGTCTTGGCAAGATTCCTATAAGAGATGAACTATTAATAATTTCAACATGGAGATTTTCTATTCCTGAACAAATCTTTGAAGAAATGTACATAGCTAATATACAACAGAATATTTATGGCATACATCGTTTCGTGTAAAAGGTTGAGGACACATGAGAGTCGTGAAAGCCGAAGTCCATGCATCACGTGCGCAGGCGATAAGGCTGACCCGGGTTACGCGTCATTGCAGCCGCACCCAGGGCCGGGGTCCAACACCGCCTCTACCCACGACATGGTCACGTTTCTTCGGCTTCTCTTCACCCCGCCCGCCCTATTAATCGCCTGTGTACATGTAATGTTTATTTGACCTTTGCTGGCCTCACTCGCACCAGCCTGCCCCGCAACACCGCATGTCTGGCAATCACCATTTGCTGTGGCGTTGAACGCTCCTAACCTTCATGTCTACCGTCTTTTCTTCCCTCGTGCGGCCGCAAAAGTCCCGCCAATCCTCAGCCAACCTGGGCACAGCACCCACCGGCCCTCCTCCAATCGACAGCCATGGCATCGACGAACCTGACCTTCGTGACCTCAATACCGCTCTCCAGGCACTTACGGACATATTCCCTGACATCCAGCCCGAGGTTTTTCGAGAGATGCTCTCTACTTTTAGCCCAGAGAGCAGGCTACAAGTAATCACCGAGACACTCCTCAAGCATGGCAACAAGTATGTGCGAGGAAGGTACCGGGTGCCAGCCGAGCACGAAGAACAGCGAGAGACGGCACAAAAGTACAGGTACCGCAAGGAAGATGCACCGAAGGACACGCGTGGTGTACCACTTGCACTTGAGGATAGGTTCCGGTCGCGCCGGTATAAGGAAGCTGCCAAGGAGGCTCTCTACCAAGAGTTCAAAGGTTTGAGCCATTCCACCATCAAGGCGGTCTTGGCCGAGTACAATTGGAGTTATACACATGCGCGACCGACGCTGCTAGTGCTCTCAAGTAAGAGTTGGAGATCAAGCATCACGAACTTCCTCATGCGACGCAAAGCACCCAATGCAAACGACCATCCTCTAGTTATATGGACGCCTGCCGACTCGAGGCTGAACCGCCCGCCCATGCCACTGCTGGTGAAGACGAGGAGCGACGAGCTGAACCAGGAACTCTACAATGCACTCATTCTACCCGAACACGAAAAGTATCGGGATGCGCAGCTGCGGCAAGATTTTGAGTTGGCTATGAAGTGGAATGAAGAGGAGGCCGAGCAGCAAGGCGAAATATATGACTGCGAGTGCTGCTTTATACCAAACACTCTGCAGCAAATGTCGACCTGCGATATCGAAGGCCACTACATATGCTTCCGCTGCATACAACATGCCATCAATGCAGCCCTCTACGACCAGGGATGGGCGCGCAATATCAATACCGAGTTCTGTACTTTGAAGTGCATAGCGCCAATGACTGGAGGGTCTGACGATTGCAAAGGTTGCATTCCGCTTAGTTTTGTCCGCCGGGCCCTGGAGGAGGAACAAGACGGAAAGGACAACTTTGCCAAACTCAACGAGCGTTTCGCTGCTGACGCACTAACAAGGTCACAGCTACCACTAGTCCAATGCCCCTTCTGTCCCTACGCTGAATTAGACGATCTCGCTCTTCCCAACAGAAGTCTCTTTTCCAACCTACGTTTCAAGCCTCGACCCATGATAGTAGCTTCAATAGCTTCTCTCCCCTTGCTTGAACTATTATGCTTCAAAGCCACACAAGCCATTCTCTTCGCCCTGCTCCTCTTATACACCATAGCCGCCATCACCCTCCGCCTCCCCGTCATCGCTCCCTTTCAAGCAGCCCTCCGCCGCATCCACCTCAAGCGCCGGGGGCTCCGCTTCCAATGCCTATCACCCACCTGCCAACGGGCCTCATGCCTCTCCTGCTCGCTCCCATGGCACGACCCCCACACCTGCTTCTCCTCCCAACTCACCTCGCTCCGCCTCACCCTCGAGCGCGCCACAACAGACGCGGTAAAACGCACCTGCCCCCAATGCAACCTCGGTTTCGTCAAGTCAGAGGGCTGCAACAAGCTCGTCTGCTTGTGCGGCTACAGCATGTGCTATGTTTGTCGCCAGGGGCTCGCTAATGAGGGCTATCAGCACTTCTGTGGCCATTTTCGTGATAGGCCAGGGCAGCCGTGTGGGGAGTGTAACAAGTGCGATTTGTATCGTGTTGAGGATGAGGAGAGGGTTGTTAAGAGGGCCAAGGAGAGGGCGGAGGCAGAGTGGTGGGAGCAGCAGGGTGAGGGTGCGAAAGAAGGGTTGCAGAATGAGCTTGGTAAGGATCAGGGTCTTCAGGGTAAGGGGGTGTTGGGGATGAAGAGGAGTAGTTGGGAAGCTTGGATTGAGACTGTATTGGATTCTATACTTGTCTGATCTGTTTGTTCCTTCATTTTTTCTTCTCCTTCTTCTTCTTCTTCATCTTTCTTTTTTCCTCCTCCTTGCTTGAGCGTATTCTCTCTTTTTTTTCTCTTTATTCCCTTCTCTCTTGGAATGATCTCAATATGGAGATGTGATACCCACGTTCCCGAATAACTGACTCTCCTTGCAGCATGGTCTCTTCTCACTCTTCTCTCTTCCCTGTTTTTTTTTCTTGTTCCAAAATTTACATAACTATAGGTATCATATTTATTAGACTGAACATGGGTTAAAGCGGAAAAACTGAGCAGGGGGGAAGCCTGTATCTATCTTCTCTACTTTCTCTATAAAAAAAGAGCAAGATTACTATTCTGATGATTTCAAAAAGACGATGGTTGCGTGAAATGATGAAAAGTATTGACGTTCAACGTATACATCACACCAGTATATCCAACACAAAGCAAACGCATTTCAAGACATTAACAATTGCTCATGTATACCAACTAACCAGGGAAACGACGGCGGGCCCCAAACCCCGCCATACCGTCTACACACGCAAAAAAAAAGAACACGGCATGCTTTCTTTCCTCTTTCCTTGGCCCAACACCTCATCCACTCATATATTAACGCCCGTTTCATTACGCAAAAGAAAACATGAAATCAGTACCTGGGTATGATGCAAATCGACAAGCACACACCCCCGACCCGCCCCGACCCTCCTCCCAAACCAGAGCCTCTCCAGCTCTACATTTCCCCCACTCTTCATCCTTCCTCCACCATGGAAAAATCTGAAAGATATCAAAAAGACAAAGGAAAGAAAAAACAAGGAGATTCGTGTCCCTAGAGAACAAATAAGTATTAAGGTACAAATCTGTAGAGATGTCGTATGTATTGGGCGTTGTGACTTCATGTGTGCCCGCCCTAGTGTGTTTTCTCCATTCCACTCTGTAAGGCTTATATACTTCGCCCAGAGAGGGAAGAGGGAGAAAAGAAAAATGGCATAGAAAAGGAGATAAAAAGAGCGTCATGTACGAGTATGACTCGAAGCGCAGGGCTGACGCGAACTGAGCGGGGTTGGTCGGAATAAGTAACGAGCTGGGTCGGAACGTTTTGTTTATGGTATCCAAGAAAAAAAAAGTAAAAGAAGAAAGATGATAGCGGGAACGGCTCGTGCGAAACCCGGCTCGGTACCACAAATTCGCATTACCATTGATCTTCGCTCAGAACGGGGCTGCTAGGCAAACGTTCTAGTGGAACCGAGGCGGAGAAACGGAACCGTTGCCAACGCCGTTTGGCTGGAACTCCATTTCGCGCTTCATCATGTCGAGGGTAGACGGGAAGTAAGGCTCGACACCATATGTCTTGAGATAACTAGCCGTCTTCTCAATGCGCTTGATTTCGCGTTTGACGTCCCAGGCCTCGCCTTCGCCAAATCGGCGCTGCACAACATCGACCATGGTCTCGTCGAGGCGGTTGTAGAAGTCGCGACGCGCGGCAATGTCGCCGGCGTCGGCGCTGTCGATTCCGCCGTGCGAGTTGAGGTTGCCGCCGAGCTTCAGGATAAGATCGAAGGCGTAGCGGGGTCCAGATGGGAGGAGCGTCAGGCGCTGGATGTCTGGCAGGAACTTCAACATTGCCGAGGCAAAGTGCGACGAAGATATTGAGTCGTTCAGATCGTCTTGCAGGCGGTGAAGATCAAAGTTGACAATGGTAATCTTGCGGTCGAGCTGGGCATTGAGTGTGGGCGCAGCGTCAGCAGTCGTGGTATCCATAATCTTTGCGATTGAGGCGGGGACATCTGGGAAGTTGTCAGTACAGCGTCGGCGGGTTGCAGAAGAGGGCAACACAACATACCTGGTCGCAAGCCGCGCTTGTCAATCCAGTTGTGTACTTCGGCGCGCTGTTGCTCAAGCTGGTCTACCCAGGCCTGCAGGTCGGCCAGCTGGCTCTCGAGTTGCTCAATCTTCTCGGTGTATGGCTGCACGGCCTGGTTGAAGGCAGCAGTGAGAAGGTCGGGCATACCGAGCCCCATTGGGGTGGCATTGCTGGTAGATGGCACTGTCTGGGTCCGCATAGGCATGGCGTTGTGGGAAGTAGGAGCACTCTGAGCGTACGTGGGCTCCTGGGGCTGCTGTTGGCGGGGGTACATATCCTGATCGTCGAGCGACAGCGGCTGACTGTGATGGGACTCTTTGCGACTAGATTCTGGGCGCTTATCTGCTTCGTAGTCGAATGACTGCGAGCGAGGGTTAGGTTCGTTTTCGACGTAGGAATTGGCCCTCGATCGCCTAGATTGGGTTAGCTTGCCGGGTTTGGCGGGTGAAGGGCGAGCGGGCTACCTTTTGAAGAACATTATGGGGGGAGAGGAGTTTGCGGCAGACAATGACAGTAGTCGGTGTTATAAGCTCGGAGGGAGGCGGGAAGCGAGATTGCGCCACGAGTGGAAAATAAGAGAAAGGTTGGGTTATTTGACGGCCTTAGATTGGCAGAAAAAGGGAGAGGTTGAATCACTACGGCTGGGCGTGTGTCGTGTCGGGCGGCGGGTAGCGGATGGTGGTTGGGACGGCCCCTGTCCTTCGCAGAGGACAGTCAATGACAGCAGTGCGCGCGCCCACAGCCACGCCGTGAACAGGATGCTGCTAGCAGTAGTATGTCGCTGCTAACGTGACTAGATGGCGGCGCAGATAGTAGATAAGATGGGATACCGTGGACGAGAGACGCCCGTTTGCGAAAGGACGGTGAGCTTGCAAGCTGCGCGCATGCAAAAGGAATTGGATTCCGAACCAGAACACATCATCACCACACTGGTGGAGCCGAATGCTTGCCCAGCCTCTCCCAGCCTCGCTCCAGGCCGCCCATGCCGCTTATCCACCCATGCCACGCTCTCCTGACCCATCCGCTACTCCATTTAGAGCAGTCCATGTTGCGCCATCACAGGCCGTGCAGCCGACAATCGACGACAAGACCCCGCGTGGGGTCCACGTCACCTGACCCCTCCCCCCTCAACAGCCACTGTTGCCCAGCAACGCCACACCACCTCAACAACGTCCATAGTCGTTGACAAGAAAAAAGTAATATCTTGCTTGGTACGAGCGCTCCGTCTACCTATCTAGCCCGAGCGCAGTGTTTGGCGCCCCGTTGCTTCTGCCCGCTCTCTGCATACAAGCCATACCACGGTACCTACTGACTACGCCGCCTTTCCCTTGACCTTAGCCCCCCCCTGCTTTCTTCCCTCCAAACTCTACGCCCCGGATCGTCCACTCGCTATAAATCTCTAATCCCGACACAAACACGCCAAGCAGACTAGCAATCACAAAGTGGCTAATCGTAGTCCCAATGTCCAGCCAGCTGCCCTCGTCCTTGACCATGTAGAAGAAACTTAACGTCATGACATCGCTAACTGCCATGACTACCATGAAGAGTGCAGAGGGTGCCACGCCCAAGCCACGGTTCAAGAGTCCAAAGTTTGCCGATAGCACCGCAAACGGAGCCATCAGCTTGAGCATGAGCAGCGCTCCCTGAGAGAAGGGATCGAAAATGGGTATCAACCTGTACACTGCCTCTAGAGAAAACGACGATACTGACGCAATGTTGGATGCACTGAAGAAGGCTGACTGAATGAAGAAGATGAAGAAGAGAGCTGTGCGTGCGTCGGCGAGCGTCAACGGCCTGTACTCTCCTTTTTGGACAGACTCGAGGCGCTCCACAGCTGCGTCCTTGGTTGGCTTGGCCGGGTCAGATGCCGTGACCACTGTTGATGGATTGCTTGTGCTGTGCAAGTGGACTTGATGCTCAAGGCTCATCCAGCTAAACAGACACATGCAAAAGGCAAAGTAGAAGAGTCCTTCATACGAGATCGACAGGATGATGAATGTCGGCGCGAATTGGAGAAAGATGACGACGAGGCGGTGCACATAATGGCTATTGGGATATACACCGTGCAGTTGCGGGACAAAAAGAGAGGCCGCAAGCGTCGCTCGTCCCATTGTAAGCACGCCATAGGGTATTCCCTCACGCGCTTGTAGGTAACTGATGCTACTCTTGGTGACAATCATGGAAAGCAAGACAAGGCCGAGTTGGATGCCGAGGATGATACGTGATTTGTTGTTGAGCTCATGAGATGCAAGCTCAGACTCTGATTTGGAGCCTGCAACCAAGCTCCTTTCGAAGAGCAGGTAGAGTGCACCCACGGCGAACATCAATGCTCCTCCAAATAGACTGTTCATGTTAGCAGCCGAACAAGACTGGGCAGAGTTGTTTCACATACATCAAGCGCACATCCTCTGCCTTGATTGCAGGTAGCAATGTGAAAGCACTCATGGCTACACATGACAGCACCCATGCCGCGACTGTTGCCATGTTCTTACGCATAAAATCTTGACCGTAGATTGCTGGCCAGCATGTTGCCAGCAGATAGCAGGCTGTGTAAATCTCCCGAACGAAATAACTTTGGACCTATTCCAAGTCAGTACAAAGTGCTCGGTGTCATCAACTATTTCACATACAAGAGCCTCAAGCAGACCGAAGAACCCCAGTGTTGCCAGCACAAGCTTCGCTACATCAGCACCAGAGTTAAGATGGCCCAACAAGATCTTGCTTCCTTTGACAAGTGACAATCTCTGGGCATATATTTCCTCCCAGAACAAGACTGGAAAGAATGCATATGCGTAATAGACAATGGGTGATTGCTGCTTCAACAGAACGCCATAGAGTGCGACGAGCACCGAGGAGAATATTACCATGCTCGGAATCGTCCGCTGTGTCGGTACCTCCTCTGTCAGCACATGGAGGTGAATCACTGTAGTAACAGCAAAGACCATCCAGCCAACATAGCCAGCAGTTACTAGTGTTCGCAGAAACAACCAGTCGTATGTTTGCAGATAGCGAAGACCCTCGAGGCCAAGATCAATCAGATCATACGTCTGACGAATAGCCTGCTCGGCGTTACCTTGGTCGATCGCTGCCTGTATCTCTGACACGCGATGCTCAACCGAGTGCGCTTCGTCGCCAAGGCCAGAAAAGGGCTTGTACTTTAGCGTGGTAGACTTCTTCACCTCCTCCTTGACATGGTACATTTCCAAAATTTCTTTAGCATTGATAAGGAGCGCTTCAGCCTTTGACTTCATATCTGTGTCAAGGTAAGAGAGAGGCAAAACTCCAACAGAGTTGGTGGGAAAGTCGAGTCCAACAAGGTACGCCATCAAGGCTGCGACATCAGCCTGGTCAACATCGTGTCGCTCGATTTCATCCAGATTCCAGTCCGATGAGAACTCGGTGTGACCTCTGGCAATACCTGACGTGTTCCTCACCGGCGGTGCAATACCAGCACCCCATGTAATCAGGGGTGTGCGTGTATTATCCGGATGTCCATCGCCATGACTACCCCAATCGCTCATGCCGTGATCGGCCGTGAAGATGAAGGCTGTCTTGTCGTCGGCATAGAAATCTTCAATAAGTTGCGTGATTCTCTGCACCCCTCGGTCCACAATTTGTAGATTGTGTAGGTACTGCCATGAGTACGGTCTGTGTATATGGCCCGTCGTGTCAAGTCCTAGCAGGTGCAAGAAGAATACATTCTTCTCTTTTCGTAGCTCAGCATCCAATGTCGCATTCGTTTTTGCGTCAGCAAAGAGTTTCTCAACACGCTCAAAGACCCATTCGTCCAGTGCCCAGGCGTCTTTTGACGAATCCTCGTCCTCAGCAGCGTAACAGTATGCATCCACTCTTCCTGAGACTGCTCCCGCTTCGAACATGGGAAGAATGTCGGGACTGCCCCAGCTCCATGTATGTCTACTTCGGTTGAAGACGCTGTCGAAGTTGACTGGGTTAAGCTTCCATCCTGTTGTGACAGCAGAAACATCCTCATACAAGCCTGCGATGAGCGCAACATGCCCGGGACGCGACTCCGTGGGGACACGAGTATGCGAGACACCAAAAGTGCCTTTTTCTAAGACGCGAGAGCGGAGGAACGGAGCGAGAGGGCGAGGGGTGTCTACGTCGTCGGCGAGAGCGGTCGGCGGATTGGGGTCAGGGTTGGGAAACGATTGAAATGCTTTGTCCGCGCGGAGACCATCGCCTGAAATGTGGTTAGCCTGCTAATCGTTGCACAAAGACGACGCATCTCACCAACAAAGAGTACCAATCGCTTGGCCGGAGCTTCTTGCGTCTCCACGCGGTGTTCGCGCATGCCATGGACAATAGGGCTGACAAAGTAAATTGAGAAGCAAGAATATATGTACGTCAAATGGAACACTACCGCAATAAGCAGGAACGCATACCGCCTGAATTGCGACATTGTGAATGAGTGTAGAGAAAGAAGGAGGCGCGCCTCGAGGACACGTTTTGTTGCGACGCGACCCGGTACTCAGTACTCAGATGGTTGACGCTCTACGACGTTGTCCCTGCCAAGAGTTTACGTACGTCGTCATGTTAAGGAGACAGACCCACGTTGCCCCTCGTTCCTACTGACAGACAAGTCAAACAGGCATTTCACCCTGTGGACACTATTCGTCAATCAACCAGTCTACTGCAATCCCCCGTGGCATGTGTGATCAACAGAACTGCAAGGCTGGCGCTGCGTCGCCCAAATAGGAAATACCGAGCTTGAGCTCCGCACAAGCAACTGCATGTCTCTTCGTACGGATCATTTGATTGTTATAAATGCATGTTATTGCTACCAAACCTGCCACAGCAAAACCTCAAAGTATCTGGAAAAGCGACCGATTGCTGCTTGTATTGACATTTATCCATCATACACCAAGCCTCTTGTCTATTCTTCGACGTTGAAGTTTGCACCTTCCCTAAGGCCTTCAACAACAAGCTCCTGGCCTTCTGCACGCTTGTAAATATCCTTGATATCATCTAGTACCATGTTAGCATCGTTCAAATCTTATTGAAGTAACGCGTCTTACCAGTCGTTGTCTCGAAGTGGCTCGTAGCATCGTAGCTCTTTGACAAGAAGATGTTGTCATTAGCACCACTCTCAATTGGCTCGTAGAGCGGGATAGCTGGTCCCATGAACTTCTCCTCGATTGATCCAAGGCGGTCGAGACCCGGCTGAAGCTCAAGATGGTGGTTGCTGTCGCCCTCAGCAATAGTGGAAACAATGGCAATGTAGTATCCCTTGGGGCAGACGTTGTGTGCAGATGAAACGACTGCAACGTAGATATCTAGAAGAGGTGTTAGCGTTTTTCTGCAAGCCAATTCTTCTTCACATACCATGCTTGCGTCCGACCTGGGATTGGGGAATAATCAATTGCAGGGAATCGGCATCTGATGTGTTGGGAACGGGGTGGTTGAGAATGCAAATGGCCTTGAGCAGGTGTCCGGTAACACGGGCTTTGCTGGGGAAGTATGAAGGGTCTGCAAGGATCTTGCCTGCCTTGGTCTCAAACTTCATGCCGTCACCAGGAACGTCCTTCTCCTTCATGGTGGCCTTGATGCCAACAACCTTGCCGCCCTCGTAAATGAACTCATCTACGTCGGTGTTGAGCATGTAGGTACCACCATAAATGGCAGACAGGCGAGCGAAACCCTGAGGAAGTTCTCCGAGACCGTACAGAGGGTAGATGTATGGTGACTTTCCATATCGTGCCATGGAGTTTACATACAGCCTGATGCGCTGGATGGCATCTTCTGCTGCACCCTTCTCCTCGATGTAGTCGTCGGTTGGGTAAAGAGCCATAGAGTGACCAACGAAATCGCGAGTGGAGGGCTCAAGACCAAATTTGTCATAGATATCCTTCATGGTGCTGTTCTTGACGTCCATGCCTATTGTATATCAGTCATCCTGCTCCGAAAAAACATTTAGTCCATAGAGGGTCATACCCTTGTGTGTGGCTGGGTCATCCTCCTTGTAGGCACCAACCCACTCGAGGAAGTTCCTCGCTCGGCGCTTCTCGAAAAGGCCCATAAGGGGTGATCGAAGAGCCTCACCGGCGTCTGAGGGGACCTTGGCAATGGTCGCCTTGCTGCCGTTGCCCTGCTGAACATAGCTACCAGCGATCTGCTTGAAGTCGAGGTATTTGGTGACATCGGTGGAAACGAGGATGTTGGTCAGTTCGCCGTTGGCCATGAGAAGCTTAGGGACGAGATCGATGTTCCAGTCGTTGACGCGGCCATACTTCTTCCATGGCTCGCCCTCGGTCTGGCCGTATCGCTTGAAGAGCTACACGACGTGTCAGTGAGTTGAGTGATGGTTATTGTCCTTGGATACATACTGCCTCGATGTTCAGCGATGCTGCCTCACTGTGTGGTGTCAGCTTTAGTTCCCCTCAACAGTGTCTACCAGCGCCACGCACCCTCCGTAGTGGTCATTGCGATCAATGTGGAGCACCTTCTTGCCCTTTACACTAAGCACACTGCAAGGATATCATCAGCCAGTGTCCGGTTTTGCTTTTTGTCGGGGTGCTTATGTTACCCTGAAAGCACACATTCGGTGAGACCTGGGGGATGGTTAGCTGCGTTGGCCTGCGTGTTGCGTAGGCGGGGTAATAGGGAATGGCAACGCACCTGTTCCCAGGACCACGACGTCGTATTCTGGAGCAATTTCTTCCATGGCTGAATGAGGAGAGTTGTGAGGATAGGGGTGGTTTGCAGACTGCAGTAGAAGAAGTCCACTAGAAGGCGCGTGGGTAGGTGGACTGAGGGCGGTGAGGTGGATGTGGGGTTGGAGCTCTTTGGGAAGCGCCTCGCTAATCTGGTCGAGTTGTTTGTGCTAGCACTACTTTCATAACTCAACGCGTTTGGCATATGCTACGCTAGTGCTGTTCACTATCTGACACTATGCAAGACGAAATGCAGAATAACCAGGCTGCTTTGACTGCTGGACGAGCCTTTGTTTGTATATGTGCACTGTGAATGAACCCTTGTTCATCGCCGCCCAGGATCTTGCATATACCCCGTACTGATTGTAGTCGCATATATGTACCATCGTTGTCCCCAGCATGCCAAATAGATGTGCAGAACTCGTCCGAGTGCACGCTAGCTGGGTAGATTTTGTAGCAATAAGGACATGCGGGCCGTCTTCAAACATGCAGCATTCATCTCGACTCTGCTATCGTCTTGTCCTTCCCAGGCTCCTCGCTCGTCGAGGCAGCTTGAGCCTCGTATAGTGCATCATCAGCTTCTAGTGGGTCCTGGCGAGGGTGTCAGCACCATGCGTTGGATTGTGTCGAGGAGCAAACTCACATATGGTGGTTGTGTGTACTGTGGGCCATCCGTCCTAGACAAATCAATGTCCGGATCACGCTGTGCCAGAGCATATGCCTCTTGGTACGCCTGATGCCTCTCAGCCAGTGTGTCCAAGATTGCCTTCATCGTTTCCTGCACTGTCTTGTCGCGCTCTTGATTCTCATAGTCGCCATAGCCGGCATTGAGGCGCTTCCGCTCAATCTTCTCTGTCGCAAGGCGATTCCGCTCTTTGACGCATACCCACCACAGCTGGTGGAGGGCGTCCCAATCTCGACTACGCAGCTCGCCGACAGTCCACGCTCTGCCTGTGTCCCCGTCAGCTACCGCCTTACTCGCCATGAAGCCAACTGCTGTATACCATGCCTCTGCTCATCCACTGGTGTCTGCAGCAGCTTTTGGTCCTTGAAGAATCCCCACAGTCCATGATCTGGGGTGCCGGTAACTTTGTGTTCGATTGGCACCGGCTTTGGCAATTGCTGCTTCTCAAAATCTTTTTGCCTGACCGACAGCGTTTGCCGTGGCCGCAGGGCTGTCGCCCTCACTGCAGACACGCCTCTGATTTTGTTGTTGTCCCTCTTCCGCCATTGTGGTGACGTCGAAAAGCAGGCCCTGGAGCCATTGTGCGCGCATTGGGCTGAGGGGACGAGAAAGACGAGGAGGGCGTCGGATGGCGTCGACGCCAAACCGGGTCGTAGCAGTCGTGTAGAGGGCATCGTCGCCATGGCGTTGGTGTGGGCTGTGCTTGCCGACAAATGGGCGCAGCAAAGTTGCAGCTGGAAAATGCGACTGGGGTCTGCAGCTAGCGCGCCCAGCGCCCATGGTTGGGATGGCCCAGTCAGCCGCCGGGGGTTGTGATCTTCCATACATATAAAGAGAAGCCACCCCCACCCTCCTATTCTGCTCTTCAACAAACCTCGCGCTCATCACCCCGTGTTGGGCGCCCTCCGATAGTTTCCAATTTCATTTGACGAATTCTTCGATTTCACCAGCGGGTACCAGGACCCGCACTACAACATCTCGACATGCAATATACCTCTGCCACCATGCAGTCCGGCTTTGCCCGACCCTACCGCCTGTTCTGGAAGCCGTCTAGACTCACTGTCGGCATCAAGCCTCCATGGACTACACTCTGCTGAGTGGCAACTTGCGCCTTCTTATTCCGCTCCTCAAGACAACAATCATTTAATCGACACTTCTTCCCTTTTGTCCAACTCTTCCGCCTCGACTGGCAATCTTATCGTACCGGACGCCTCTCTTTACCTCACCGCCGACCTCAACCTCTTCTCTACTGGTGATTCGCCGTATCTTGGTCATGATTTCCAACTGTTTCCCCAAGGCCATGCTTCACTTCCTACTGCTGGAGATACTATCGATACGCTTGCTATGGCTCAAAGCATGAACCTTTCCAACAACATGGATACGGCAGCGCAAATGGCCAGAGGTAAGAGTGGCTCTACGATGCATTCAGTGATCAGTGTCTGATTTGTATAGATGACTCTCAGTCTGGTTCTTCTTGGACAAGCCACAAGGACCGGAGCTCGTCATCTCCTGAGCACGTTTCTTCATCCAAGACATCGTCTACTAAGAGCAGTCCTGTGGTACAAGAGCCCGCTTCGCGTATTGAGAAACGAAAAGCCAATACGCTTGCTGCCCGTCGTTACCGCCAGAAGCGGGTTGATCAAATGAGTACTCTGGAAGCTGAACTAAAAGAGATCAAGGCCGAACGGGATGAGCTCAAAGTCCGCAACGCCAGGCTTGAAGGCGAGGTGGACACTCTCCGTGCTCTTCTTCGTGCACAAAAGTAATAGTGCATGGGCAGATGAGCAAAAGGGGTGGGTTCTGACCTTAGGGGTAGGACATGGTCGGTTCGTGGACTTTTGTAACGTGTCCATGTGCATGTAATACAATTCAATTCTTTTTCTACGAATGCTACGAATGATTGCGAAGACTCATAATGGCGGCAGTCTTTGGTGCAATAGTCCTTGCCAGGATCACATTCACTCATGATGACGAAGAAGCAGAAGAAGGGCATGGTTGAAAGTCACGATGAGTCTAGGCAAGTTGGGCGCAGCTTAATTCGGTAGGGTAGTCATGGAACACTCAAGGCTTACGCCCCGACTTGAGGCATTTCCTCTGACATATCAGCTTCGGTGGCGCACTCACATATGTGCACTGAGATCTACTGTTACATACTAGGCCTATACTTACAGTGTGAGGTTTCGCTCTTGTCCACAGCCAGGCATTCGGCGGTGCTTCGCTGCATAGTGCTATATTCAGCCCCACTTAGCTGTCCAATCAGACAGCAGTATAGTGAGTCATTCTCACTCACGATGTATACGGCTAGCACTAAGTCTTTAGTGGCTTGCCTTGCAGCCCCGTTTTCCGGTCTGCCATCTGCATATGTACATGCTCATGTACATGTACACCTCCACTACACGCATATCCTGTTCGCAATCTTGCGCTGTGCCTTGCGCCCTACAGCGACCGTGGGCGCTTGACGTCACTCTCCGCCCACGACTTGGACCTCGGCTCCTCCGCATTCCTGTCCAAGGAACTGTGACGACAATGGTAGTAGTTACACCCAATTTCGGCCCAACTCTAGCGAGCTGCACAGCTCTAGGCGACCCCGCGCCTAGTAACTTGTTCTGTCAAAGTCTGCATCACGTTACGATGCTTTGATGAGATCAATTAAACAAAGGTCCTTTCCATGTCAGACTCTGCCGCTTCCAAGTATCCATGGCCTTCTCTAGCTAAGTGCGTACCTTGATTGCCATGGGCATCGACGAGGCGTCTCTTAGTTATCTATAAGTATGTCTCGACGCGATTCATGGGCTGTGCTCGCAGTGCCGCTTGCAACAAGGTCAGTCAAGTTGCGCCTCAGATTGTTGGTCATTCAACCGCGTGCAACGCAGGTTTCAGCCTCACCGATCTCTAACATCTCGAACGCAACGTTGACGCCAGCCCACTGTCCCGTTGCCGAGTCTATCAGTTCATGCAGGCTCCCTGTTACATACTCGGATACATCCACTCGAGACTGTTGTCTAGTCCGTTTGTAGTTAGCAGACGTTTGGGACGTTGGCAATGCATCAGTTTTGTATCCCAGTTTGGAAATGGCCCCCGTTTTGTGACCTTGCACCCTTTGTCGGGGGCCACACAGAAGCCCACTTTGTTTTTGCCTCTAGCGTAGTTATACAACTCAAATATTGCCAGGCCTCGGGCCGATCTTACGGGAGTACGAGGTGGTTAGTACTATACCGGTTTCTAAACCCAGCCCTCCACGTTTTCCCGCCCTCCAAGCGGCATCACTAACCTATCATGTCTCGTCAGGCACGACTGCGGATCGCTGCGCGTCGAGCCATAGCTTCCGTTCCACTAGCACCATTTCCACAATTGTGTTGATAGTCTTACTTAGTCGGCACACGCAAGGGTCACGAAACGCTCTACGGAGCAGTATCTCCCGCTGGTGGAGAACCCGGGGAACCCTAAATCTTGGGGACTCGCCCCCTATAGACCACGTCTGGTAGCCAACGCGTTCATGTTCGTTGTTTGTTCTCATCATATCGTTCTCTCGGCGCGCATCTCTATCGTCGCCATTCTCGACTTGGCGCCGACCACAATCAACTCCTATTTCCAGGGAGAAGCGAGCAGGGCTATACAAAGATGTATCTACGCCCAGGATTCGTCGTGGTAATCGTCGGGGGAGTTCTGACAACAATATCAACAATCGTCGTGGCGCTCCGGTGAGTTGATGTGACAATGACAGCTATGGCCCAAATCCTAATCAGCCGCTACAGATATTACTGCCGGTACTTTCTTGTCGGATCTCTCAGCGCAAGCGACCATCTCATGCTAGTCTCTCTGGTAAGGTTTTACCAATGCCAAGCTCAAGGCCAATGCTGACAAGATTGACTAGGTCATCGCATGGGGAACTTTTATAATCAACTACTACCAAGATGTGACGAGCAGTGGCTATCGACCCACATACCTCCGTAGACCTGTAAGAGAGAAATTTCAACCAGCCCCTCTGAGAAATATTCTGACACATGCGCTCAGGACAAAAGGCCAGAGATTGAGGGCTACGTGCTGGGAGTACTCATCTCCTGGTGGGCCTACCGGTTCGTCTACGTTATAGGACTTGGCTTCATCAAGCTCAGTATCCTCTTCTTCTACCGCTCCATTGCTGCCAACGTCACCTTTCGCCGAATCGTGTATGGCACGATGGGGTTTGTGGTGCTGTACACATTTTCTGCGACCATTGCCGCAATCTTCCAGTGCCAGAATCCAGCGAGCGCTTGGTCCACGACAAACTACTTTGCGCAATTCGACCCCACCCTCCAGAGAGAGCCCGCTGTGTGCTGGGATCCAGTTCCGCTATGGGTTTTTTCGTCAGCGTGCAACCTACTCACCGATGTCATCATTCTGTTGATGCCACTGCCGACGCTGCTGAGTCTCCGGATACCAATGGGCAAAAGACTAGCACTGATTGGCATCTTTTCTGTGGGATTGATGGCTATTGTTGCATCTTCAGTACGCATGTGGGTCATGTACATGTGGGCTGAGTCTCCTTATAACTCTGCGCGATACGGCGCGGATCTGCTCCTGTGGGGTCAGGTTGAGACCAACAGTGGCATTATATCTGCCTCTGTACCATTTCTCCGTCTTCTCTTCCGCAACAAGGAAAAGAAGCCGCAACAGAGCGGCACACCACAGAAGATTTTCGCGACTCCACCAGAAGCCCAGCCACCAACGCCGCCAAAGGACGACGAGTACAGTCCACGTAAAGTGCCAGATGTAGAGATGTGGCCACTTCCAAACGAGAAAGGCCTTGACAGGGGAGATTCTGTCGGTTTCATCACAATACACGAAAGATCGACGATAGCAAGAGAGTCGAATTGGGGTCCGTTTGTCACAATACCAGAGAGCTTGAGCTCGGATGGCAAAGACAGTCCATATCTGGCACCTCCATTTTCGCCGCATAAGACGGCGTGAGGCAAATGAGATTTCTTTTGTTTGGTTTATATGTAAGTAATGTTTATATGTGCATGCCCGGAACGAGGTATACGTGTCTTGATAAGAGCGGAAGTAGCTGGGCTACGGGGCTGCTACGCAGCTGATGATTTTTGTGTATAATACGAACGCATATCAAAAACGTAATGATAAATTTCACCCGCATTGAAGCTGATGGCGCCTTGTCTCGGCAAGGCTCGTTCCCGTGACTAAGAGGCGGGAGGAGGGGAGTTCCAACAGAACATGTTGCACAAGAGCGGCAGCATAAGCATGGGTGTGGAGATGGCGCCTTGCCAATCGGGGCTAATAATCTTGAGGCGGACGCATCCATGGCAGACGCCGATCCTCACGCGGCCAGAATCTGGAGCGCAGCGGAGAGGTCACGTAGCCTATTTGCATGCGTCGTTAACGTCTGAAGCTTCACTGCCTATCGTGCTCACAAGTACAAAACCCTTGTTCAACACAGCACACCATCCAACCGCCCGCTTCCCCACATGCCGGCATAAGAGCAATCAGACTGAAGCCCTCCTAGCTTGCCCACCGTGGCTTCCTCACGCCGTATCAAGTGGTTCCTCGCCGCCGTCGCTCTCTTCATTGGCACCACCGCCATCCTGGCTTCGATTCGGCTCGGCGGGCGTGTACCTTCGATCCTGCAATACATCAAACCCCCTCCCTTGCGCAGTCCCCTCTACACACAGCCCTTTCGCCCCTTCACAAACTCCACCATGGCCCCGGCCCAGTACAAGACACCGCCTCAGCTGCCTCCCAAGTTCACTGCTACCAAGCAGAGCCTGGTCGATGACGCTAAGCGATTGGTATGTCGCCCTGTTTCTTGACCATATCTTATTGCAGTTATTGTTGTAGTCATCGTCGTCGTCATCGCTGCCTTGGTTCCCGCAGCAGGCAATGCTTCGGATAGATGCTGACGTGTGCCCCCAGATTGACAGGTCACGCAGTGTCCAAGATAGCATTGTCCGCGATGTCAAGCCCGAGAGTGCAACCTTTGCCAACACAGTCCTCCCAATTGCCCGCGATGACAACAAAATGGCTATTGAAGCGCATATTCTCGGCTTCTACAACGCTGTGTCGACCAGCAAGGAGCTACGTGACGCCTCAAGCGAGGTCGAGCAGATGCTTGACGACTTTGGCATTGAGTCGTCCATGCGTGAGGACGTCTTCAATCTCGTTGATGCGGCGCTGAAGAAGGGCGAGAAGCTGGACCCTGAGTCGCAGCGGTTGCTGGAGAAGGACCACAAGTCTTTCATCCGCAACGGTCTGAACTTGCCTGCGGGTCCCAAGAGGGACCGGTTCAAGGAGATTAAGCAAAGGCTGAGTCAAATCGGCATCGCCTTCCAAAAGAACCTCAATGAGGAGAATGGAGGATTGTGGTTCACACCAGATGAGTTGCACGGTGTTCCTGAGGATGTTCTTTCTGGTCTCAAGAAAGGCGAGGGTGAGAATGAGGGTAAACTCTTCCTCACCTTCAAGTATCCCGACTTGTTCCCTACTCTCAAATACGCGACCAACCCAGAGACACGAATGAAGGTCTTTGTCGCCAACGAGAACAAGTGCAACGATAACGTAGCGCTCTTCAGGGAAGCTATTCTCCTCCGTGACGAGGGAGCTCGCCTCCTTGGATATGACAACCATGCGCAGTTCCGGATAGAAGACAAGATGGCAAAGACTCCCAAGACGGTCAACGACTTCCTTGGGGATTTACGCAAGAGACTCGCACCAGGCGGCAAGAAGGAGATTGAGAAGCTGATCGAGCTCAAGAAGCAAGATGCTAAAGAGAATGGGTTAACTGGTCCGTTGGTCGAGGACTACTATCTCTGGGACAACAGGTATTACGACCGCCTAATGCTGGAGAAGGACTACCAGCTCGATCACCAGGTCATTGCTGAGTACTTCCCTCTGTCAACAACAATCCAGGGCATGCTGAAGATCTTCGAGGAGCTCTTCGGTTTAGTCTTTGTTGAGATTGTTGGCGAGGAAGACAGGGCTGCGCTTGCGGATGGCGGCAAGGGATCTGACATTGTTTGGCACGAAGATGTACAAATCTTCAGTGTTTGGGACGATGAAGGCGAAGGCGCTGGTTTCGTTGGTTACCTGTACCTTGATCTTTTCCCGCGAGATGGCAAATACGGTCATGCAGCCAACTTCAACCTGCAGCCTGGCTACATTGACGAGAATGGCAAGCGACGCTACCCCGCCACTGCCCTCGTCTGCAACTTCTCCAAGCCGACGCAGAAGAAGCCTTCGCTACTGAAGCATGATGAGGTTGTCACTCTCTTCCACGAGCTTGGACATGGTATTCACGACCTGGTGTCTCGCACAACCTACTCGCGCTTCCACGGCACCAACACTGTCCGTGACTTTGTCGAGGCTCCATCTCAGATGCTGGAGAACTGGTGTTGGACGCCCTCGCAGCTGCGTTCGCTGTCACACCACTACTCGTATCTCTCTCCCGAATACGAGAAGGCGTATCTAGAATCGTCTGGCAAGGATTCAAAGCCTTCGGAGCAGATTCCTCAATCGCTCATTGCCAACCTGATCTCTACCAAACATGTCAATGATGCCCTCTTCAACTTGAGGCAGTTGCACTTTGGTACTTTCGACATGGCTGTCCATGAACCTGCCAGCCATGAGGAGCTTGAGAAGATGGATATTACTGAAAAGTACAACAAATTAAGATATGAGATCAGTCAACTTAAGGGACCTGAGTCGCTGGAGGGCGATAAGAAGGGTGACTGGCACTGGGGCAATGGAGAGGCTACCTTTGGTCACTTGATTGGTGGCTACGACGCTGGGTAAGTCTTTACAAACTATATTGGAGAACAAGACATACTGATAACTATAGATACTACGGCTACCTCTCCTCTCAAGTCTACTCTACGGACATGTTCTACACTGTATTCAAGTCCGACCCCATGAACCCCAAGGAAGGTCGTCGTTACCGCCATACTGTCCTCGAACGCGGTGGCTCAAAGGAGGAGATGGACATCCTTGAGGAATTCCTTGGTCGCAAGCCTCAAACTGAGGCTTTCTACAAGGAGCTGGGCATCTCGCAGTAAAGTGTGTATGTGTTGCTACGGAAGATCTTAGCAAGCCAAATGCAAGACATTTAGAGTAAAGAGTTATTACAAATAAAAAAAGATTCAAGTCCCTGAGGTTTCTGTCCTCGAACAAGAAAGGAAATAGTTACGTTGTTCTTTGGTATTGTGTAGGTTGCCCTTTTATTGGACAAGGCTACAAAGCGCCTGCTGCGATGTTCCTCAAGCTCAACAATTCCCGTTTCAACTGCTGCAATAAAGATGTGAACACATGTTCATCCACTGTCCTCGAGTCAACACGCAAGCGTAAAATCAGACAACCGTTCTCCTGAATCTGACACTCGACAAACATCGGGAGCCGTCTCCCGGAGCGCCATCCCAGCTCCACAAGCGCATCTTTACCTGCCTTCAAACCCTCCGTAAAGACAGATTCGAGGTCCGGATCACGATTCCGCACGTCATTCTGCGCGATATGCGACTGTACTACAAGCAAGACCCTGAAATCGCACGCGATATCCGCACCAGGGATATGGTGCCGCCACCGCTCGAGATCCGTTTGCTCAAACGGAATCATATCCATCGTCTGCGCCTGTACTTTTTCCAACAAGCCCAGCACATCCGGATTGCCCCGGTCGACAGACAGACAGATGGGCAAGGTGACAAAAGCCGGGCCAGCCATGCGATCCAGCCCAGTGGCTGCACCTTGTCGACCCGTCACCGTCGCGCCAAATACAATGCGGTCGGTGTGCAAATGGCGAGCCAGCACGATGCCGAGTGCCGCGCGAATCAAGGTCGAAGCAGTAAAGCTACTACTAGTACCCTGGCACCCAAAGTCCTGCAATACGATTGAGGCATCGTGATCGTCACCTGGTCGTAGTAGCGTGCTGTCCTCGCGACATATAAGGGGTGGTGGAAAAGCAAGCGCAGCATGCGTCAGCCCCGAAAACTGGTTTTGCCAGTACGATTCCGCCTTTGCGAATTCGCAGCTCCAGATCGAGCTGGTTAGCACGCGCATGTCGTTCAGCGGATGGGGGTGGCGTCCGTGATAAAGGTTTTCTGCTTCTGAGAGGAGGAGCCGGAGGGACCAGCCGTCGTAGGCGGCCCAGTGTAGGTCGCAGAGGAACCATGCGGGTTGCTGCTTTGTGGGGCTTGCTAGGAGTGCGAGAGCAAAGTTGACGAGTGGTTCGCCTTGGAGCGCGTGTCGCAAGGCGAGTTCTTTATGGCATTGTTCGAGGGTGCTGCCGTTTATCCATTTGGAAGGCTTGTCAACGATGATTTGGGTGTAGCCGAGTTTGGGTAGGTTTACTATGCGAGTCCGTATGATAGGGTTCTGTTCTGCGACCGTATTCCAACACTGCTTGAATTTTTGGATGTCGGTGTGCTGCTTGAGCTCCAGCTGGTGCGTGGTTCGGAAGTGGCCTTTTGGATGAAGCAGGGCCCAGGACGCCAGGTTTCCTTGCAGCGGCGTGCAAGGTTGCATGTCGACGATCTGGTCGTTGGTAACACTGCAAATGGAGGCGGCGTGGGTTCGCATTTCGGCGTCATCGAGTAGCTTGTCTGCGACGGGGCGAACCACCTCAAGTTTATGGGCGGTCGCAGTAGACTTCCGTGGCTGAGCCACTTTTGCAAGGTCTCCGATGACCGGGTGTTTGAAGATGTCCCTGACTGTCAGAGAATAGCCAATGTCTCTTACTTTGCTAACAAACCGCATAGCAAGGACCGAGTCTCCCCCGGTTCGAAAAAAGTTGTCACTCATACTGATACTTGTAGTTTCGGACATCTGAAGAACGTCCTTGCACACGCGAACCATTGCCTTTTCGCTCTCTGTGACGGCTGGGCATATCTCGATTGACGACTTCTCGCCAGACATCCACTCTCGAATCGACTTTGACGAACCATGGGCCTGTAGCTCCTTCAAGTTGACCTTACCGGTTGCAGTCAGCGGTAGCGCAGCCAAGGGAACGAATGCTCTCGGAACCATGTACTGCGGCAAAACGGAGTGTAACCGCTCCCTGAGCAAGCTTGCTTCTTGCATTATGTGACTTCTGAGCCCCTTCTCATCAAGACATGCGTTTTTAGGAGCAACGAATGCCATGATGACTTGGACGTCGCTCTCAAGGGGCTGTGCAGTCTCGACAGTCACGTGCCAATCGTGTCCGAGCCCCTTTACCAGCGCCTGCAAAGCAACTTCAATCTCACCGAGTTCGACACGCTGTCCATTGATTTTGACCTGGCGATCATTTCGACCGCAGTAGATGAGTGACCCATCTTTGGTATATCGAACAAGGTCGCCTGTGCGGTACAGTTGCCCACAACGGCCTGGAAACCGTTCAGTGCCTCGAGTGAGCCAGATGGGGTTCTTGACCCACGACGCCTTTTGAGAGTCAGTAGTTTCTGCGAGATACCCAAGGCCAGAAAGCGGTCCTTCGATCCATAGCTCTCCGATTTCGCCAATCGGGGCCAGGACGTCGGGGTTTTTCAAGTCGACGATCCATGTGGAGGCGCCGTATCCTTTACCAATGCTCACTTCTTGCGTCGTCAGCTCGTCGAGGTCCTGAACGGTTACAACATTTGTCTCAGCCGGGCCGTACAAATTAAAGACTTTTGTCTCGCGGGTGAGGATCGATCGATCGGAAGGCGCAACTGGTTCGCCGCTCAGATTGACGACGGAGATGCCGGTAGCTTTGCGCCAATCGATATGCCGGAGAATTGTAGGCGTGATATGGACGTATTTCGCGCGTAGCATAGCCATGGAAGTTTCAATATTGTTCTTCCTGTCTTCTTCAGAGGGTATACAGAGGCAGCCGCCACTGGTTAGCGCGTGGAAAAAGTCGTTCCAGGCTACGTCAAAGGCGTACGAGGCGAAATTGTATACTCGCCGCGCCGAAGTGAGGCCAATCAATTCACGTTGGTGATGTAGCATACTGCAGATGTGGGAGTGTGTCAGCATTGTTCCTTTCGGAGTACCTGTACTCCCTGATGTAAAAACAATGTACAGGAGATCGTCTGGCGATGATGCCACAGCCCCGTCTACCCTTGTAGGGTCTCTGGATTGTTCATCATTATTCGGAAGGACAAGAACTTTTGCAACGCTCAAACGCCCTGCTAGGTCTCTTTGTGCTACCGATGCTAAGATAACACTGCTTTCGACTTGCTTGGTGATATCCTGTAGGCGTTGCTCTGGCAATGTGACGTCGAGAGCGACTACTGCCGCTCCAGCTTTCATGACACCCAATGCTGCAACAGGCATCCACATCGACTTTTCGAAACATACAGGCACAATATGGCCACGGCCGATGCCTTGTTCGCGAAGATTGTTAGCCACTCTTGTGGACATTTGTTCGAGCTCGCCATATGAAATTTCACCATCCCACGCGCACACTGCAGGCTGGTTCCAGCTTTGAAGCGCAACCGCGTGTATCTCGTCGTGGACGCATCGTTGAATGGACTCGGGCAGAAGGCAGTTCCAGGACCATATAAGATCGAGATCTCTTTGTTGAGCTGAATTCATCATTATCCGTTTGAAGTTGGCGAACAAAGTCTCTTCGTTTTCCTCAATGTGCGCATCCTGGTGAGAAGGGACTTTGCTAGAAAGTAAGACATTGATCGCTGAAGTGAGTGCAAACACCAACTTGTCTGTTATCTCATCATCCAAGAGATCCTGCGGCAGTTGCATGGAAACTTCCAAATCATTCGCATTGACACGTGCACTGAGGAGGAGATCAAACTCGTGTGGGTCCTGGTGATTGTGGTATTCGAAGCTGATCTTTCCACTTGTGTCATCTTCGTCGAACCGGTCAGATTCTCTGAGGGTCATCGCCGTGTTGAACAAGCGACGGCCCGCTGAGAGACCCATTGCATGCTGGACTTGGGCCAAGGACGCGTGTTGGTGCAGCAGATGCTGAATTGAATCGTCTGAAGCCTGTTGTAGTACTGCGAAAGCAGGCTTGTTGAGTTCGATTTTGCTAATCAACATGTTGGCCAACGGGCCGATCATTCGATCCACATCTTGGATGGGAGCGTCTCTTCCGGATGTAAGATATCCAAAACAGACATCTGGCGCGTCTGTAAGGTATGAGAGCACCATAGCCCACACTACTTGGAGAAATACGGATCGCGTGATTCCAAATCGTTGGCAAAAGTCAATTACCCCAGCTGTTGCGATTTTGGGAATTTCGACGTAGCGGAAACGCTCATTCTCATGCGAGACACCTTTGATTGGTTGGTTGAACATGGATAGGACCTCGCATGGTTTGGTTTCATACAGATATTTTGCCCACCAGTCAATTTTTTTCTGGTGGTTCGATTGTGAAAGATACCTGATCATTTCTCCAAATGGCGGCGCTGCGGTAGAATGAATACCATTATAAGTCATCCGCAAGTCCTGGATCAGGGGCATGAGAGATCCTCCATCGATGAGTGCATGGCTGATATCCAGACGACAAGCAGTCTTTACTCTGGACTGGTAAATCGTGAAAAAATGTCGTGGTGAACTCTGCAAAGTCCACAGCGGACGCTGCAGTTGATAAAGAACGTCTTCGGGATCCTGGTCGTGGATCTCTAAGCAGGTGACTTTGATCTCGGGTTCCGAGAGAACCAACTGAATGAAACCTTCTCCGCTCGGATCTGGAACCAGAACAGTACAGAGAATGGAGTGTTTTCGGACTACAGAGCGCCAGGCTTCAGCAAGCTGAGACATATCCACTTTTTCTTCTCCGTTTCGAGGGTGACATTTCCAGATCCAGAATGTATCGTAAGTGCTTAGACCTTGATCAGCACTCAGTGAGATGCCTTCCTGGAGTGGAGATGCTGGGTAAGCATCTATGATCTCCTTTGGTGATATAGCCATGGCTGGAAGCTGTACATCGTTGAAGTATCGCAACGCGGCATCAGAAAGAGAGAGGAGAGGAACATCGGCCCGGGTAAGTTTAGCTGAGGCGCAATTCAAGGTCGTTACTGCATCTCGTATAGTTTCTAGGAACTGTGCTTGCCATATGCTCAAACGGTCTCGATGAAGCATGTGTTTGTTGAGGGACATAGTGAGCTCTAGTTTACCATTTCGAACTAACATTTCTAGCTCGATCAAAGCGAGTCGAGGTGAACTTTTTGCGACCGTTTCCGTGCCTTCCTCGTTTGAGGGGGGATGTGCCAGCCTGAATAAATCGCCATCATTCTCAAGTTGCTGGTACGAGCCTGCGAAATTGACTAGAATTTCAATAACGCCGTACTCTTTGAACGCATCCCTGTACGTTTCACTGTAGAAGCGACTTGCAAAGTATTCTTGTCCCTTGCTAGGGATACGTTGTCTTATGTCCTTTGCTGGGCATACTGCATCGACCACGTTGTCGTTTGGTTTGGTGGGAAGAGGAAGAGGATAAATTATGGTGAATCAGCCTGCAGTGTCGGGAACATGAATTCTCCGAATACCGAGAGGTTCCTTCCCGTGTCCTTCCAGGAAAATTGTAGGCATCTTATGCTCTGGGAACGACTGACCAAAGGAGTATGCTAAAGCGCCAAGTATAATGTCGAGTGGCTCGGTCCGCATCGCATCATTGCTATGACCCATGAGCAACTGACTGCTGCCGCTGTCGAGTATCATAGTACTATCGATAGCATTGCCTCACACTTGATCTTCAGATACGCATCCCCAAAACGAAGTATCAGAAGGTGGTATTGCAAAAGGTAAGACTGAGTCGGGCATAAGATTGCAAGACTCTTGATGTTGCTCTTTGCACCATTTGCGGAATGAAGTACCTTTGGTCGACAGTAAGCATTTGTTTTTGATAAAGTCTTCAAAGTCTCTCCATATAACTCGCCATGACACAAGATCAATGACTAGATGATGGGCAGACAATAATAGCAAAGGCCGATGATCCGTCACCGTGAAGCGAACCGCCGAGAAGACTGGTCCGTTGACAATGCTTAGCTGCTTCTGCAGCTCTTTTGTCATAGCAAACGCCTCTGAAAGCTTTGAAACAGCATGTTCTACCATATGCTATCGTCCCAAGGGAGCGACACGTTGGATCCACAAGCCTTGCGATGACTTGTGGTACCTCGCACGTAGCATAGCGTGGCGGTCAATGATGGCTCTCGGCGCCTCTTGTAGATCGTGCTGGGAGATACGTGTTACCATTTCGAGCATGAAGCACTGGTTGAAATGATTCTCGCCATCCAGAAACATCTGAAAGAATCTTTGCTGGATTGGTCATAGCCCAAAGAGTTCTTCATCCTTTTCATCTTCAGCTATGATTGCGCTGTCGTCTTGGAGGGAACTTTGTTGTGATGAAGGTAGTGCACAGCATCAGAGAGAGAGCCTCTGTATTGTTCGAGCGGAGAGAATGTCGGCTACTGTAAGAGCCACACCTTTCTTCCGACATTGGGAGACTACCTGCATGGCCGTGATGGAGTCCCCTCAAGACTGGTGAATCTTTTCATCGTCGATACTTTTCCGAGAGGCAAATTCAATACTTCCGCCCAGATTTTCTGAAGCATTCTTTCTGTTGGACTTTCTGAAGTGGTTGATTCAGTCTCAGCATGGTTGTCCTTGTTCGCGAATTCCCGCCAGCAACGGGCTCCCATCACCTGCAAACGTATCCTGTCTGTTTTCCCTATACGTGAGGCTTCCATCCCAAGCACAAATGGCCATGGCTTCGGGGCGCTTCTGTAAATGAATGTCGAAAAGGCCATGTACGGTTTGGGTGCTTGCAGGGAGTGCATAATAGTTCCATGAATGTATTTCTTCGATATCTTCTTCACAAATCCCGACAAATGTACTCCAAGCAATATCCAAGCTGTCATTACGGCAGAGCTGACGCAAGATGTGAACGAAGCGACGAGCTATACGTTGGACAAGAGTGTTCTTGTAAGACGTCAAATGTAACACTTGCTTTTCTGGACGTGATTCCAAACGAACAACTGTTTCCATTGGCCCAATGTCGCACAAGCCGTCATCTTGGCAAGTGATGGCGGTGGTGAAACGGTCTACGGCCGGATTGATCTGCCTTAACCAATGTAAGCCTGTTGATTTATTCGCTACAAGAAGATTTTTTAGTTGTTGATACCCATCTAGTAGCTCTCGTACTGTAGCTTATGGAGGCACTTCGAACTTGCACGGCATGAGGGTCGCGTGCCGTTCCTCCAGTCCCCTAAAAGGGGGTAGCTTTGATCGGTTGTTGTCAACAGTTGTGCCGAAGAACACCTTATTGGATTCGTATTCTTCAGTTAAGAAAATTGCCCATGCTACTTGTGCTAGCGATTCCAAAGTGAACTCGTGCCCTGGCTCAATTGGCATGTCAAGAATGACTTCATGCTGGTTTGGACGTTCCAAGCTCTTGCATCGCTCTGTCTTGCTACTGATATTATCGATGCCATCCAGACAGTGTCTCCAAAATTCTTTTGTGTTGGATGAATCATGGCCTGTTATGTACTTGCAGAAACCTTCTGGGAATGAGACTGGGCTCTCTGTGCCATCAACAAGACCTCTCACTAGATCCGATTGAGTTGCCGATTCGATGAGAAAATCAGTAGCCCAGCACAAAACAGTGTAAACTTCTTATGCCACATCGCGCGAGATGTGGCCGCGATGATACTAAAGCGTGATTGCAATGGTCTCTGGATGAAGGTGGCTTTCCATAACAAGATCAAACTTTCAATGATTGTCAGTATAACACATTGTCTCGAATAGTTTTGATGTGACCCTACCTCATGCGGACTGATCAAAATTTTCTTTTCCTTAACCAGAGTATCCGTTTGACACTCCTCCTTTTCCGCTCGCAGGAGATTGATCATTGTGTTGAATAGAGGTTTATCCCCGAGGCCGAGTTTATGGAAAACAGGGGCAAAATACGTCTGCTGATGGCGTCGGTGTTCCTTGAGATTTTGAGCTATACTTCGCAACATAGACTGAAGCGGAGATGCAAGGTCAACTCTGCTTATCAACAGGTTCGCCATGGGACCACAGATACGGTCGATCCCATCGATGGGTGCATCTCTCCCCGAACCCATGTATCCAAAGGAGACATCCTGTCGCCCATTAAAATAAGACAAGACCAGGGCCCAAGCGATATGCATGACAACGGATCGAGTAATTCCATTCTTAGAACAGAACGTTGTGGCAGCGTCGAATGGTTTCGAAGGAACGCGAATGGCGCCGTGTTCATCTTGTATAGCGTTAGACGTCTCGTCGAGGGGCAATGTTGGGAAATGACATGATTTTGAGCCCTTTAGATATCAGGACCAAAAGCCGCTAGTCTCTTCTTTTGTCCTGCTCTTGATGTAGCGCACCACATCAGCGAACGGCGCTAGTTTCGTGACATCCCGGGCATGGTACATTGGTACAATATCTTTGAGAAGGATGCGCAGCGAATAAACGTCATACAGCGTGTGGCATATGTCAAACCGACAAGCCACCTGCCCGGTAGCCACGTTCGTGCAAATGGTCAGCATGTGCCTCGGACTGGCCTTGGTCCACTTTGGACGGGGACGCATTGCCGGGATATGAGCGGCGGTCATATTTCCATCTTTGGTCGTGATTTGCTGGATGGAGAAGGTTGGATTGCGAAGAACGACTTGCAAGAAGCCTTCACTGGTGTCATCTAAAGCAAAGATGGTTGCGTAAATCGGATGCTCTAACGCGGCTGCTCTCCAGGCAGTCTCTAGTTTGTCAGAATCGACGCAGGCGTCGGCAGGAGGGATGCAGTTCCACACCCAATATATACACGGCATACGAAGACGGGCTGGGGAGTATTCCCTCTTGTAAAGGTGAGCAGGGAATCACTTCGGCAACATTCTGATTCAAAATGTCGCTAAAACCTAGGACAGCAAGGTTATCGGCAGTGGCAGCGGCCATAGTGGTAAGTCAGAGTCCGATACGGTCTTGCAAAGAGTAGAAATGAATTGATATTGCACGTGGGGTTGAGCTAGCGAGGGAGGCTTTCAATCAGTACATGGCTGCTCACTGCTGCCAGGCACGCTTTCCAGCTTGAACACATCATGACACGTTGGGACCGGTGTGCGACCGGTGTGGGATGCCACGCGTTCGTGACTCCACTGAATTGTGGCTTACATCGGTGTGAGTAATAAATAATTCATATTCTTCATTGCTTTTTTTATTCAGTGGGAAGTTCCATGAGCAAGCAATGGAATATAAAAAAACACTATGCAAAACGCGAGAAAAAGATGCATGCTACCCGGATTTGAGAAAGGGAGATCGACAACAAGATCTCACCGACTCATGTTGGTACCCATGAAGATGTACGTGCGGGATTCAATCTCAGCGGATATTGCCGTTCAACAATCAATTCGATTTCCAATAACAACTCTCCACGTAAATAGCCTCACATTTTTAGCGACACCGTGGGTTGCTTTTCCCAGTTTGTAACGGGAGCAGGTGTTATGGGCAATGCTTCTAACTGTTGTTCACTGAAATAGCTGTACACCATCACAAGTTATTTGATAATTACGTCCCATTTTATTCTCTATCATCACCTCATCCCAAATTTCCTGCTGAAATTAAGGCTTCTGCGTGCGCCACCATGTTCCTTCTTACTATTCCGATATCATCCAGTTACTTGGTGTAAGCCGGCTAGCATGTAATGGGGCGATAGCTCAGACCCTGAACTCAGTATCACACAGGAAAGGAAAAGGCAAGCCGTCTTTTCACAGCCGCTCAGCATTCGAGCAGTATCTGGAAACGTATCAGATGTCAATTCGTGATCCCGAATCATTCTGGCACAAAACTGCCAAGGAATTGCTTGAATGGGACAACAAATTCGATAATGTTTGTCAAGGATCATTTGAGGGTGAAGACAATGCATGGTTCGTCAATGGTCGTTTGAACGCTTCTTTTAACTGCGTCGATCGCTGGGTACGTGAGAAACCCAACCACCCCGCCATCATTTACGAGCCCGACGAGCCTGACAGCCCACTACAGCGCACCATTTCTTTCATCGAACTCCGGCAGGAAGTCTCCAGGGCAGCATGGGTGCTAAAGGATCTTGGAATTCGAAAAGGAGATACTGTCGCGATCTACATGCCCATGATCCCAGAGGCTTTCATCACGCTTCTTGCCTGCTCTCGAATCGGAGCCATCCATAGTGTTATCTTTGCAGGATTCTCAGCGGCCGCACTGAAAGACCGCATACAGGACGCAAAGGCAAAAGCGGTTGTCACTACGGATAAAGGATTCCGTGGAAGCAAGTGCATTGATTTAAAAAAGATTGCTGACGAAGCAATTGAGGAGTGCCCTGAGGTACGCCACTGCTTGTTTGTCAAACGTTCAGACGATTCTAGCCAACCTCGCCTGCGAGACCGCGTCTGGCAAGAGGAGTGCTCGAAATGGTCACCTTATTTCCCGCCAGAGTCCATGAATAGTGAGGACCCTCTGTTCATGCTGTACACTTCTGGATCGACCGGTAAACCAAAGGGTTTGCTCCAATCTACCGCTGGCTATCTTTTGGGTGCGGCATTGACTACCAAACATATATTCGACATCCAGGACGGCGACGTCTTCTTCTGTGGCGGAGACATTGGCTGGATAACAGGACACACATACGAAATCTATGGCCCACTCTCACTTGGCTGTACTACTGTCATATTCGAAGGAACGCCTGCATACCCCAACCTATCTCAATATTGGGATATCATTGCGAAATATCGTGTCACTCAATTCTACACTGCCCCGACAGCGCTGAGGCTACTCAAGCGAGGCGGAGATGAGTACGTCAATCACGATATGACGGCACATTTACGTGTACTTGGGTCCGTAGGGGAGCCTCTGGCAGCGAACATCTGGAAATGGCTTAGTGAAGTGGTGGGTAGAGGTGAAGCGCAGGTGGTGGACACCTATTTTCAGACCGAAACCGGATCGCACGTGCTATCCGCTCTTGCTGGGGTTGTTCCGTCGAAACCCGGATGCTGTTGTCTTCCCTTCCTAGGAGTCGAAGCTGCTATCTTGGATCCCGCCGGCAATGAGCTTCCTGACGAATCAGAAGGTGTATTGGCGATCCGCAAACCTACATCGTCAATGTGTCGTACAATTTGGGGTGACCATGCTCGATTTGCTTCGGTCTATTATAAACCGTACCCAGGATATTACTTCACGGGCGATAAAGCCATTCGTGATTCAGATGGTAATTACTGGATTCAAGGTCGAACTGACGATGTCATCAATGTGTCTGCTCATCGCCTGAGCACTGCAGAGATTGAAGGTGCATTGTTGGAGCACCCGCTCTTTGCGAAAATGGTTGTCATTGGGGTCCCAGACGATCTTACCGGGCAGGCTGTAGCTGCATTTGTGAGCACAAAACCGTCGGATGAAGCCACTGATTTTCCAAAGGAAACTCGCGTCAAGGTGCAGCAAAGCATTGGCAAATTCGCTGTTCCGGTCCATGTCATTGTGGTCGATGATCTACCTCGTACCAGGTCAGGGAAGATTATGCGACGCCTATCGAGGAAGATCTGGAAGGGCCAAGAGGAGTCTCTCGGAGACACTAATACCCTGGTGAACCCTTTGTGCATCGACAGTCTCATTGCGATTATTCAAATCTATCAAAGACACGACTCTGCAACTGCCACACTGACTCATTTCGACAATCATAATGAGCCGATTCTTTCCGCTCAATAGGAATGTATCGTGTGTATTCAGACGCTGCCAAATTTAGGTGACATCCCAATGCCACTAGGAAGATAGAATCATGAGCTCACACAAGAACACTGTACGCTAGAACACCAGTCATAATTTCAAATATCACTTCCTTCTCATTTCACTTATACCCTACTTATGGCAACTACCTCTCCATCCATTGTTCTGAAAAAGCGCAACCCCTCAGCTTACCAGGAATAAAAGTAAAAAAAGAAAAAGAATAAAGACTTCTGCTCCTATCCCCATAGATCAGAAAACCATCATCAATAACCCCCCCCCCCCCCCAAATACCTCCATTACCACCGGATACGAAACCCGATCTACAAACATTACATAAATCACCCATATGCACCCGCTCTACCACTTGTTGTACCTTGCGTCACCCTCCATAAAAAAAGGAACGAGTGAGAAAAAAGTACATAATGAAGGAAAGGATCAGAACAATAAAAATAACAAAATACGACAGCAAAAAACATGGCCCCGCATAACTATTTGCATCAAACCTACAGCAATCAAGTACTCAGTACCGTCAATCCCGTCGCTAAGATATCAAAACCCCAAGTTTGAAGTCCGAGGAAGAAAAAAAGCGATATGCTATTGCTAATGCTGAGAACCATGTGAATCTGAGTTGGAAATGAAAAGAAAGGCGAGATTCTTGAACACGTGACGGCGGGTGCTACTATCTAACGCAGTTGAATATGGGTAGCGCTTGGTATGTGGCGGAATAACTGGTGTGAGGTGAATGAAGTTTGATACTAGCAGTAACGTACATCCCTTCATACTGGAACAACCGGTGTGGCGGAACACTATTCCTTAAGCAAGTAGATAAGAGGCAGAAAAACCTATGAAAACATGTTCACAAGTTCTTATTGTTTTTAATTGCATACATCCTACACATAACTAATGCTCAGATAGAAAAATACGCGCTGGTGTGGCTATATAAGTATCGTCAATACACTCGCGCTGACATTTCGTGCTTCATCTAGCACCTCAGCCTACGCAACTATTTCGCCCTAAATTCTGTCGCCAGAGACATTAACCGATGCTCTAGGTATCACAATTTCAGATTATTGTTTCGAAAAGCTAGATAATGCTCTATAGTGGTAATCAGAAAGTTTCTCCGTCGCCGAAGCGGTTGGCAAGATTCGCGATGACAGTTTAGCGTAACGAACCCAGCTTTGTCATCTGAAATATATTCACATTACTTTCGCTTTGACTAATCATTTGACACTTTCTTCTGGCAATTTCTATCAGTCTTTGTGTTCAGCTGCGGCTGTCAACTAGAGGCGGTTCTGTTCCGTTCCATGGGTCAAAACGACTCTACGACGCCAAGACACCGCTTCTCCGCGGGGATTTACTCCCGCTTCTCCGTCTCTAGTGTTATGGCGGCTGCTGTCTGTTCGACAGCATTTGCACTTACGACAAGGATCTCAGTGTGGCGAACTTAGGTTACTAAATATCGCTGGACACAATCGCTAGACAAATGTACTATACAAGAATGGGAACACGCATTAAGTTGACACATCGTGGCGGGCTGAATACGTGTGCAGTGGGTGCCATTAGAGCGGATGCTTGTTTAGACTAGTAGTAGACGCAATCTAGATTGCAAGGAGAACTACATAGGACCATTCTTACTCATAAGGACGTGCCTGCTGTATATTAGAGTTTGCACTCGCTAATGTCAAAGCAATGGTAACCTATCAGTAGCTACCTGCAGGAGATACTGCGTATCGCTCGATGTGGAAAAGGTGGCAGGAGATCAAATCCCTTGTACGTTCTTACATCCTGCGGGAGTACGATCAAATTATCTCCCTCGTTCAAAACGGCTTCAAGCAGACTCTACGTAAAATCCACTTTACCTTCTATAGATGTACGGTTAAGGGCAGCAAAATGGTGCGTTATGTAGTTATTGTTCACGATGACAGCATCTTCAACTAAGCTGTTCTGCTTGAGAAAGCAAAAGGACTAGCTAATCCTCGCGATCGAATGCTTAGAAGGGGCTAACCTCTGAAAATATACGGTATCGTCCTTGAAATCACGATTCAGTACATTGGCCGTGAAATTGGATGTAAATCCACATCACCGCGCTTCACTGGCAAATTGCAAAGCTGGAACCAAAGATATATTGCATCATTCTGCAAGCCACCGAAGTTACAATATGCAGAGGGTAGTGGTAAGAGGTCGGCCGGCCATCGCATCCAGCAGCCTATTGGCGTAGCCGTCTGCAAGTGCGCAGGGGTATAGAGTAACGCAAAGTGGTCAACTTGGTAGATCACGCAGGGAATAACGAGCGATGAGATCGAGCAGACCAGCACGCAGGATGAAGCACAAAGCCAATAAATCGAGAAAAGCACCAGGACAAGCCATCGGTCAAGCCACTGGTCAAGTCGGACGCTACCACAGGCTTAAAGTGGCTACCTACTCGTGGGTCACGGGGAAGCAAAAGCAAGCTGAGCGCAGGGAAATTTAGTGTTGCGGCCAGTTCAGCTGTATGCCTTAGCACCATCCCGCGTCCAGCCAGGAACAAAAGGCTTACGGACGATCAGCACGCTGCCAACGGAATGCAGACCTCAGAGGAGATAGGGTCAGAGGATCTCACTCACCGGCTCGCGTTTACGGCTTCATGTGCAGCAAAATGCTCAAAGCCTGCACCAGGGGCTAGAATGCAGCTGAACAAGCTGGAAGTCGCGTTGCCACTGGAAATGATGCATCTGCAGTCTGCGATAGCGCCTTTGCCTGAAAACAGGCAAAACTCTCTATTTACTCGATACTGTATTTTGTCGGCGATCTAATGTGACGCCCTGTCTGCCCTGTGCCGGACAACAAATCACATTGTTTCTACATCGCTCACCTATCGAAACGTCTTCCGTTCCACCAAACACATTACATAGCCTCAACAAGGGCACCCTTCTTCTCGAACGAATGAATGAAAGTGAGCTCACAATTAGGAACTGATGTCAGCCAGCAAATCCCCAATATTCGGTATGTCTTAGAGACATATTTCGGGCGACTTCTCTATCTTACCATTCTCTTGTATTTGCCGTTTAAGCATTCCGACAACCTCATTTCGAACGGTGCGCAACGCTTAGGAGGCAATGTCTCCCAAACACCGCGCACTTATCATTGCCAGCCCTTATGGCGGGCTCCGTGGACCGGAGAACGACGCCGATTTAATGGCAGGCGTTCTCACAAAGTACAAATTTGAGGTAACCAAATGTTCTGGTTACAATGCTACCCGAGACCAAATTCTCAGCGCATGGCGACAACTTATCTCTGAGAGCTCCGCAGAGGATGTTGTTGTGATTTACTACTCAGGACATGGCGGCTTAGTTAAGTCGAGTCAAAACACATCTGATCAGAAAGGAGGATCCAAAATGCCGCTCCACTCCCAGTTCCTAGTCCCGATGGATTTCGACCAGACCACAGAAGAAGATTTCCGGGGAATACTGGACATCGAGATATCGCACATGCTGCGGGATACGACAAACAAGACGGAAAATGTCACTATTATCCTGGACTGCTGTCATGCAGGGCGTATGGCCCGCGACCCCTATCACAATAATCAGGCCTGGCCGCGGAATCTACCAGAAGTGAAACATCACGGCGTGCTACTCAGCCATGTGGAGCGGCTTCGGAGGGAAGGGCGTTTGACGGGAGACACCTTTATAGAAGGTAACCCACACGCAGTACGGATAGCAGCAGCAGCAACCTCCGAAACTGCCTGGGGCTATCAGGGCTTGCAGGACCAGCCTATTGGAGTGCTGACAGAAGCACTTGCCACTGCAATGGACAAAGTGATTGGGCAACGGCTGTCGTGGAGAACCCTTCTGCTCGGGGTATGCGAGTTTGTCAATAGACAATTTCCTCAACAGCACCCTCGAGCCGAAGGACCTGAAACGCGCATACTCTTTTCAAAGGATCACATAGCCTCTGGAGCCTTGCTCGTAAAACTGGAGGATGGCAATGTGATCTTACAGGGGGGAAGAGTCGCTGGTGTCCATGAAGGAAATGTCTATGACATCGTGCCTTTGGGGTTCGAGCGGGCAGACAAGGAAACACAGGTTGCAGAAGCAAAAGTCAAGGACGTCAACGGTTTTAAGGCAATCGCTGAGAGAGTTTCTGGAAGAATCCCTCCTGATGGAGCCCTCGCTTTCTTGCAAAAAGAGGCTCTGCCCAAGTTTTTCGTATCCTTTCCCGACGATCTCCCCGCTTTCGGAGTTCGACTTGGCCAATCTAAGTTTCTCAGATGCGGTGAGCCCGGCGAGAAGCAGGCTCTAATGGATATCAAGAGAGAAGGCGGGCGCATGGTGGTGTGCAAGGGAGAAATTGTACTAGCCTCGTACGAGTTCACCGATGTCACAATGCAGGCGGCGATTGAAGCTGTGGTCAGCCATGGAGAAAGGCTCGCTCGAGGACACCATCTTCTCACCTTTGGGAGTGGGGAAGAAGACGAAGAGCTTAACCATTCGGTGGAAATCGAATTCGGTCGAGTTGACGATGGCACACGCATGGAAACATATGCGCATGATGGGACAGCTAGTGTAACAGAAAACCAAAAAATCTACATAAAGCTTCACAACAGCGGGAACAGCACTCTGTTTGTGTCTGTATTCGATGTGAATATCGCTGGCATGATCACTCTGGTCTCGAGTTCATGGCCAAGGGGAATCGAACTGGTATCCGGCGGAGATTATATTCTTGGGAAAGCACAGTATGGTAACGGCATTAAAGGTCTGGAAATCTCTTGGCCGGCGACAGTTCCAAAGATAGAGCGTGTGGAGGAGACACTAGTATTTATACTTTCCAGCGAGGAAGTCAGCCTCCAACATCTGGCGGATCCGAAACGATCTATGGAGGCTAAAGGTAGGATATCCCATTTGGAAAGGATCACTTACCACTTGGCGTCAGGTCAGGCACGAGACCTTCAGCCTGAATCTCGAGGCCTTTCCATTCGTTATGCTGTCCATCATATACCCTTCTCGCTCCACACTCGGCAGCCACTACAATCGTAACTAGCAGTAGAATGCAGTACTTGCATATTTCTGGCTATTTTCTCTTGTTTTACAACTATTTTGCTTAACTTTCTAATGTAACATAGCCTCGATGTGCCATTTTCGTTTATTTACCTTCCGTCACATCTATTGACTAGGTAGTCACTCACTCAGCTCGAATTACCTCTCTCAATTCACTACCTCACTCTAAGCACTCGGCCAAAGTATACCAATGAGACCTTTCGAGTAGATATGAGTAAATTAAGAACAGCAGAGTAAATCGATATTTTGTCCCTCTGTCTGAAGAAAATTCAGCCGTTTACTACCCTTTCTAAGATACCGAATTCCAATACTATGCTATTAAGATCAAAAGGGATAATAAAGTTCTTCGTCCTCAAGGTCAAAACTCTCAAAAGACACTCTGTCCATATCTGTCTTCGGGGTGTATTCGCAAACTTTCGCGTTCACAACCTCTTCGGTTGCCTCTTCTCTTCCTCTTGCTTCTACGTAGACCTTCCAAGAGTTGCCGAGCTCGAGAGAGGCCTTGTCGATATCTCGACCTAAAAATCTTGCAAACTCGATCTTGCGATACTGCACAGCAAATATCTGCTCGCCAGGCGCAACGAAGCTTACTTTTTCGTCATCCTGCTTTTGACCAGACAGTCCTGCGCCTACGTCTAGAAAGTCTCCCAACGGTAACACGACCCCACCTGCAGCAGCGGCAAGGGCTGTTGGAATCTCGACCGACGCATCGGCTTCCAACGCTCGCGATTTCCCTTGTATGACATGGGCATCTGTCAATGTCTTGATCCCAACAACCAGATACACTTTCTGTCTTTTCCTGAGTGCGCGCTCCAGCCACCGCCTTGCAGACGATAGCGCGCAGATCTTCTGGAAGATATCTTCCGAATTCCTTAGTTGACGAGTAACACAAAGCACAGAGGATATATCGATCCCAAAGACATTCCTGTTACTGAATGTAGAGTGGATTGCGCTCGATAGAAACGCGTGAAGCCGTGAGCCGGTTGTTCGGTTAAGGATGTGGCTGAAGTTCTCGAGGCGTTGCGTGATGACATCATCGTCCGAAAATGAGTTTGCCTCGGGCCGATACGAGTCATGTGCTGGGTCCTTTGGATATAACGCAAGATAACCCAGTCCGACAGTGTTCAAGGGAAGAAGTTGGTTCAGAACTAAAGTGGCTTCTGGCATAGTGAAAGATGATGTGCTTCTTTGAGGGTATGCAACTGCAGGGAAAGTTCGAGGGCGGGGTCATACTTGTCCTCAGCTTGAATAGTATTAGTAAACATCATTATGACAAATATGGCATTCTGAAGTACAGTCGCACAAGCAGACAAAGAGCCACAGAATTTGACTCTGCACTCGAGACTACTTTGGTACATGCGCAGCACCCTCAGCATCCAGCTGGCTCTCTTTAAGAAGACACATCTCTGTCTGCAAGCATAGCTGTGCTGGTGATTGGACTCTGTCTGTTTCCGAAAGGCAGCAGATCGAAGTGTGCGTTTTGTATTCTCCTGTTGACACAGATACTACAGGACTGTATAAGAGTAAGTCTTTTGCATGTGAGTGTTTACTGAGAGTTGCTGAAAGACATGCGCGAGGACGTTATGCGTGTACAGGCAAAGGTGCTACCACTGGCTGTAAAGCCTCCCAGGTTGTTCAGCTACGTTCAAACCACCACTTGCGGACCCCCAAGCGTTACATCGGCCAGCTGTAGCACTTTTCTTCCGTATGGGGACAACGCAACATGATCGGTATCTGTGATAGCCTGCATAGAAACGAGCCTGTGCATTTTGTCGATGTGCTGATCGTCCGTAAGCCTTTTGTTCCTTGCTGGACGCGGGGGTGGCGCTAGGGCATACAGCTTAACTGACGCTTTTCTTAATTCGTTAGCTTTAGGCGCCCCCCCCCGATATTCGTCTGCTGTCTCATCGCTCGGTATCCCCTGCGTAATCTGCCAAGTTGACCACTTGCGCTATTCTATAGTTATCCATGTGAACCCACAGATGGCCGCACCTACAGACAGCTGCACCAATAGGCTGCTAGCGGAGATGACTGAACCATCATCGCCAACACCTGATGTCACATCTGGACTCACATCTGGACTTGCAGATGCACCCTATGCTAACCACAACATGCTCGTTACCGTGGTATTACTACTACTACTACTACTACTACTACTACTACTACTACTACTACTACTACTACTACTACTGCTGCTGCTGCTGCTGCTGATGCTGCTGCTTAGATGCGTGAATCATAAGTTCGTGACTGGTACACGCATAACTGATTAAAAAGGCATTGCGCCACTTGTTGTGTAAGGGCCGAAGCCCGCCGCTGCAGACATTATCACATGTCAGTAAAAGTAGGGAAACTGATTCCCTACGCAGTCATCTTCACGGCAAGTCCAAAGTATCCTGTAACTAGTCATAGATTATGTATCAGCTTTCAGCTCCTCAGATGCGCTATTTTCTCCGACCCATGCTGCTACTGCTGCTTCGTCCGTGTTGTTCAGCTCTGTGGGCCATATAAAGTGAGTGAGCTTATGGGCGAAGAAAATGCTTAGCTTAATGAAAGCCTTTTGATTATCTATACTACTTAAGAAAAAGCCTTTAGTTTGAGATGGAGACTACAAGGCCCCCAACATCAAGCGATAAGGACGGTTTCGAGGAGCTTCGCGAGGCGGAGATGGCGGTCTCTGCCACTCCCGAAGACCATCCTGACCGGCCAGAGCGGCTAAACTACCTTGCAGCCTTGCTGGCCGACCGACACAAGCGGACAGGGAGTCTCGATGATTTGGAAGCGGCCATTTGGAATGTAGAGATGGCGGTCTATGCCACTCCCGAAGATCATCCTGACTGGCCAGGGAGAATAAGTAACCTCGGGAGCATGCTGTCTTATAGATACGCGTGGACAGGAAATGCAGACGACCTCAACGCAGCTATCGCGAAGTCTGAAGAAGCCCTAGCTGCAACACCCGTCAACCACTCCAACCGAGCGATGTATCTAAACAACCTCGGGATCATGCTGTCTGATAGATACATAAGGACAAGAAATGCAGACGACCTCAACGCAGCTATCGCGAAGTCTGAAGAAGCCCTAGCTGCAACACCCGCCAACCACTCCAACCGAGCGATATATCTAAATAATCTTGGGAAGATACTGTCCTATAGATACGCGTGGACAGGAAATGCAGACGACCTCAACGCAGCTATCGCGAAGTCTGAAGAAGTCCTAGCTGCAACACCCGTCAACCACTCCAACCGAGCGATGTATCTAAACAACCTCGGGATCATGCTGTCTGATAGATACATAAGGACAAGAAATGCAGACGACCTCAACGCAGCTATCGCGAAGTCTGAAGAAGCCCTGGCTACAACGCCCCTTAACCACTCCGACCGAGTAGGACGTCTAAACAACCTTAGCACCAAGCTATTCGATAGATATAGGAGGACGGGAAATGTAGACGACCTTAATACAGCTATCTCAAGGACTAAAGAAGCTGTGGCTGCAACGCCCCTTAACCACTCCAACCGAGCAGCATATCTAAGCAATCTTGGAAGTTTTTTTTCTGAGAGGTACACGAGGACGGGAAATATATACGATCTCGATGCAGCTATCTCAAAGGCTAAAGAATCCGTGGCTGCAACGCCCCTCAACCACTCCAATCGAGCAGCATGTCTAAACAACCTCGGGATCATGCTGTCTGATAGATACACAAGGACAGGAAATGCAGACGACCTCAACGCAGCTATCGCGAAGTCTGAAGAAGCCCTGGCTACAACTCCCCTTAACCATTCCAACCGAGCGATGTATCTAAACAACCTCGGGATCATGCTATCTAATAGATACACGAGGACGGGAAATACAGACGACCTCAATGCAGCCACCTTAAAGGCTAAAGAAGCCGTAGCTATAACACCCGTTAACCACTCCAACCAAACGATGTATCTAAATAATCTTGGGAAGATACTGTCCTATAGATACACAAGGACAGGAAATGCAGACGAGCTTAATGCAGCTATCTTAAAGACTGAAGAAGCCCTAGCTGCAACACCTCTCAACCATTCCAACCGAGCGATATATCTAAATAATCTTGGGAAGATGCTTTCTGATAGATACAGGAGAACGGGAAATGCAGATGATCTTGATGCAGCTATCTTAAAAGCTAAAGAATCTATAGCTACAACACCCCTCAACCACTCTGACCGAGCAATGAATCTAAATAATTTCGGGATTATGCTGTCCAATAGATACACGAGCACGGGAAATGCAGATGATCTTGATGCAGCCATCTTAAAGGCCAAAGAAACCGTGGCTGCAACACCTCTCAACCACTCCGACCGAGCGATGTATCTAAACAACCTTGGGGGTTTTCTTTATAATAGATACATGAGTTCGGGAAATACAACGGATGGACGTGCGGCACTAAACTTCTGGATACAATCAAGTAAATGTTCAGCATCACCCCCTTTGCAACGTATCCAAGGCGCACGACAAGCTCTCCGCATTCTCACAAGGAGCAGCGACTGGGACCAAGCCCACACTGTTGCAGAGACTGCTCTCAACCTTCTTCCTCGCGCTTGCAATCGCTTCTTGTCCCGTGGCGACCAGCAGTACGCTGTCCGTCAGACCGCAGGTCTTGCTGCAGATGCATGCTCGGTGTCCCTCCGGAAAGGGGACGTTGGTGAAGCGCTTCGCAGGATCGAGTTCGGACGCGGACTGATTCTCGGATACCTAATCGACGGTCAGAGCGATCTCTCTGGGCTAGAGAGGACTCGCCCAAACCTAGCTAAGGAATACGAACAGCTTCGCTTCATGGCATTTAGACAGGTCAACAGCGAAAAGCCAGCAATCCGAGAGCAACTGGCTAGAGAACGCCAAGAAGCCTATCGCCAGTTGGAGGACTGCGAACGCCGCATCCGCCAGGAACAGGGATTTGAGCACTTTCTCCAGCCACCGTCTACAGAAGAGCTCACAGCATGCGCCAGCGAGGGCCCGATCGTGATTGTGAACGCCACAGATATCGGCTCGGATGCGATCCTTGTCCTGCTATCTGGCCCTAAAGCTATAGCTCTGACTGAGCTTGTCTCACAGGCTCCAGTGGCTTTCCAGAAGGCTCTCGGAAGGAGTAGATCGATCGATGATAAGGATTCCCAGCGAGACATCGAAAGCGACATCCGGTTAGAGCATAGCACCGAGTTTCTGTCCTGGCTCTGGTCGAGCTGCGTCAAACCTGTGCTGCAGGAGCTGGCATGCTACAGCCCATCGCCTGCGTCAGACAAAATTCAGCGAGTCTGGTGGATCGGGACAGGCGCCGCCAGCTCTCTTCCGTTTCACGCTGCTTGCCAGTATCACTACGGTCGCATAGCTGAAGCCGAAAGCTGCTTCGACCAGATAATCCCCTCCTACACTCCCACAATCAAGGCTCTGAGTAATGCCAGAAAACGTCCGCTAACAGTAGAGAAGTTGAACAGCAAAGACACTTCTATCCTCATTGTTACGATGCCAACTACACCAGGTCAGAGCGCGCTAGACGGAGTGGCTCGCGAGGAAAAGACCATCACGGAGGCAACCAAGCATGCATATACCATCAGACCTCCTCTACAGCATCCCACTGCCGACGAGGTGTTGAGAGGTATTCGTGAATCTGAAATTGCGCACTTTGCGTGCCACGGATACTCAGATCTCGAGGACCCTTCTAACAGTCACCTGCTCCTTCAAAAAAGCAGTGCCTCGGGCCCAGTAGTGGACCGACTTACCGTGTCCACTCTGTTGGGCGCAACCGCGCAAGGCCGAGCGTGGATAGCCTATCTATCGGCCTGCTCAACGGCGGAGATCAGGGTCAAGTCGCTCGTGGACGAGAGCATCCACATGGCCAGTGCCTTCCAGGTTGCTGGCTTTGCGCATGTTATTGGCTCTCTGTGGCCAGCGGATGACGACGTCTGTGTCCGTATGGCCGAGCTCTTCTACAAGTCTCTTGTAACGTGCAAGAGCACTGCGGATCCGAACTGGGCAGTCGCAGCGGCACTGCGGGAGGCCGTGCTACAGATCCGCAAGGAGCACACTAATAGGCCTGGTGTTTGGGCGCTCTATGTTCATTTGGGAGCCTGATTATTTTTTATCTTATAGCTGTAAAATGTAATTATTGAGCGAGCAGAGGCAGAAGATCGGAAAAATTTCGTTCTTTGTTCTTCTTGACAAAAGCGGGCTGAGTCAGTGCAAGGATTTAAAGCCAATGTAGCCGGCAATTCTGATGCGAGTCCCCGCTAGGTTCAGGTATAGTCGACCTCGAGGCGGCACAAAATGTTGCAGAGGCTGCGTCTAAAGCATGCATAGGGATGTGAATTGCCAACTCGCACGCCTGTGAGGGTCTAGCAGGCACAAGTGTCGTTGATACTATAGCTGTGTTAGCTACAGCAGCATCAGCAGGACCTAAACAATGGTGGCTTATATATTTTTGGTTAAACATAGCAATGGCTTGGTGTAGTTAGTTAGAGTTGTTACCTAACTTAGCGCCCCTCGCAGAGCAACAAGCTTTCTAACATTGCCTTTGCAGCTTTATGACGCTCACTCTATAGTGACATCGCAGGATGTGCTGCGCCTTTCAATGTCAACCTTTATTCCCGATGTCTTGGCAAAACGGTGCCATGCTACAGACTGGCAGCCAATGGTAAAGTATTCCAGCTGCTGATGAGTGCACAGTTGTAGTCGATGCGCGTCAGACTAGATTGGTAGATTCTCGCTTCAGAAGTACCAAAGCCGCCCCACTTCATCCTCGAAAACAAAGGCTGTCTGTACCCAGAGGCTTGCCGTTTCCCTTCAACCACTATCTAAATACTGTGCTTCTAGGTTCGTGGAGGCGTCTGCCTCATCTTTGCGGCTGCGATACTTCCAGCCTCCCCCCCCCCAGCGCTCGGCTGTCGTTCATGCGTCTCTAATCCCCATTTGCCTAAGGATCTCCGCACTCGCATCGTGTACTAATAACCTCTAGCACTCTTTAGTTAAAGAGGAAGCTATTCAGTCTAATCTTTTCTATTCGCATCTAGACTAGTAGTTAGAGCGCTTTCGCGCTTACTAAGGTTCTCGTGTAACGTACCCCACCAGTAAGCTGCGCACACCAGTAAGCTGCGCACCCCACCCAACTTGACGCGACTCTCTACGCAATTGGTCCACAACAACGCAACAAAATAATATAAAATTAAAAGATATAATTTATTATCTAGCCTTACACGTCGTGCGAGTATGTCCTTAGATATGGCACTTTGTACACGTTAGCGGCGCGCGCTGACGTCGCTGACTGCTCTCACCCTGTTCAGCCTCTACAACCACCCTTTCTGCCTCTATAGCGAGCTACTAAGCCTGCTGCACCTAGAGAGCTCTACTAGAAGTAATATATTAACGCCGCTAATCTTGCTTTTAGCGTTAACGCTAGTAGGCCGTACGCAGCTTCTTATTTTCTTCTATAAGTATCGTTACTAATTATATTATAAGCTAAGCGCTTTTTATAAGCTAGCGTATAGCAACGCTTATTAGACTGTCTAACTACTGGCGTTACTATCGTAGTCGCTCTTAGAGATAGAGTACCTACTACTAAAGCTGCTCTACTATATACGGCGTTTCTACCTGCGTTTTAATAGTACTGCCTACGTCTATCTATAGTAGAGATAGCTGTTACACGGGGTAAGGGTCTATACTTCTCTATCCTGGTCCGCACTAAGGCAGGTGAGTATTACGTTAGTGTTCCGTGAGGCTTGTCTGGCGATGTAGTGGAGTTGGCGTACTTAAGGAGGGTTTAACAAGACTAATCTATTTAATAGACTAACTTGTAATAATCTTATTAAGTAAAGATACTAGTAAGAAAGTACAATTTAAGTTAACCACAACGAGAGTAATAATGAAATCCATCTATCCTTATATCCTCATTACTTCTAGTCCTGCTATCCCGTCCATCCCATTTTCTTACTTCTTAGCGGGATGTCTGTGATAGCATACCATCCCTAATCCCATTACCATCCTATGCTTGGCGGGATGTCTTGTCTTAGCAGGATAGTACATCACGTGACCCCAGGCCCCGCGATAATTATTACCTTCTGACGTGGACGTCCATAAGCCTTCAGCCATCTCGTTATTTATTAAGGAGAGGATCCTTCTTATTACTTATAACATTACCTCCTCTCTTAGGGCTATCGTCTCAATACCTTAGAGTATTGTTTTCTTATACCGCGTATTGAGACACTGGCTGCATATAAGGTTAGAGCCTACCCACTCGTTATAGCCGTCTCTACCTTATAGCCTTCCTAACCATATCTAAGATCCCGTCGTCCCGTCGCGTTCGTGCTCAAAAGTCTAATAAGAAGCGTTATTCCCGTACTAACCGTATAATAGAGTAGGGGAACGAAATAACAGTTTACTATTATAAGCGTTGTGAGAAAAAGGGTCTTTATTATTTCGTAGATACTACTACTAGGCGCTGCGCTAGTTACATTACTATAAAAGCTAAGTGTAGTTTATTTATTTCCAAGGAGGAGTAGAAGAAAGTTTAGTAAGAGCGTAAGCAGAAAGAGATTTAGGTCGCTCATTTAAAGGCTTAGCGTACTTAGCTAGACGCTTAATTATTCTAATAAGAGGTAGAGCTTTTAGAGGTAAAGTCCCGCGAGCGTTCTTTCGCTCGCCGCGATCTTACTCTCCTTAAGTTCTAAGATCGTACGAAAGAGTAGGCTAAAAGGAGCTCAGCCCTTAGTAGTACGGGCCTTCCTATTATCGAACTATCACTATCTAGACCGTTAGCTAATCTAGGCAGGTTATAGGCTAATTACTATAATCCTTCTTTTAACTATTCCTTCCTCTTTAAGAGGCTTCCCCTTGCTTCTCCGGGTGCTTCTAGTAGTATTTACGTACTAGTAACTTATAGTTTATTAGGTTTCCTTTAAGTTCCTAAGTGTTATAGCTTTTAGGCTATCCTTACTACTTAACTAAGTACTTCTACTAACTACTAATTTTCCATAGGTTCTTAATTTTTTCGACCTCATACTTATTATCTTTCAGCTCTATATCCATTACTAGCTTAGTATCTAGAGGTGCTAGTTCTAGGAGTTTCTTATAAAAGATAGGGTGGATTCGTATACCTTATAGGAGTTTTAACTTATAGTTTACTTTTCCTATTTCCTCTAAGATTTTAAATAGTCCTATTTAAAGGTTGTCTAATTTTCTATATAGTCGTTTAGTTTTTAGGTTTTATCTTAATAAGAAAACTTTATCCCCTTTCTTAAAGGTTAGTCCCTTAATCCTTTATTTATTCGCTACTTTAGATGTCGTAAGATTTTATTAAGCTATATTCTTACTTAATTCTTTATATAATTCTCGCATAAGCTTCGCTTTATCGTCTACTCCTACCGCGATACTTTTAATATCCTTTAGATCCTAATAAGTAGTCAGCTTATATCCGTAGTTCGCGTAGTACAGCAAATGCTTTATTATTACTAATTTCGTACTATTATAGGCTAATTACGCTATTAGTAGTAGTTCTATCTAGTTATTCTATAACTTATTAGCGTATATCTATAGATACTATTCTAATATCTAGTTTATTCATTCTATCTAGCTATCTATTTCCAGGTAAAAGCTTATTAAAAGCTTCTTCTTAATACCTAACTTTACTAGGAATATGCTCTAATATTTAGACGTAAATAGTTTATTACAATTAGTAATAAACTCTTTAGATATCTTATACTCTAATACTAGTGCCTTTATAACCTCGTACACGTATTTATCTACCGTAATAGTCTCTTCTATAGGCATAAATTTCGCTACCTTAGTTAGTTAGTCTATAATTACTAGAATTATATCGTAAAATTAAGCTAATCCTAGTTCTAATAATCTTAGGAGCTTTACTATAAAGTCTATTATTACGCTTATCTATAGTCTAGATAGTAGCTATAGAGGTTATAACAGGCCATAGAGCTTATATCTCTTAGGCTTATTCTAGTAATATACTAAATAGTTACCTAGTATTTTCTACACCTTCGCTTATAAGCGTAGTATTATAAATACCTTAGCTAGTTATCTAACTATTTTATTTACCCCTACGTGTCTATATTCTAGAGACTCGTGTAGGGTCTTAATAAGTTCAGTTCTTATATATAGGGGTATATACGTGCTTATATATTCTCTTAGAGCTTTAAGCTCTTTCCTATTATTTATTACTTCTAGCGGGTAGGGGTCTATTTCTAACGCCTATAACGTTACTTTTTCCTGCTATTATTTCTATAGTATTTCTACCTACTTAGCCACCTTAGCTACCTTAGCTAGTTCCGGCTGGTTATACTTTAGACTACTATTAGGCATCGTCTTAAGTAAGACGTTATGTAGTTCTTTATAACCCTCTTCGCGTAAATTAGACCTTCTACTTAAAGCGTCCACTACTCTATTAAGCGTCTCTACGCGGTGTGTAATCTTAAAGTTAAACTAGGCTAGTATTTCTGCCCATCGTACTTATTATCAGTTAAGTTTTTTCGTTATTATAAAACTTATTAAGTTCTAGTAATTAGTAAAAACCTTAATCTGTTTAGAGAGTTCTAGTAGGTATACTTCTTATTATTTAAAGGCATCGACTACTCTAAGTAGTTTCTTATCGTAAATATTATAGTTAAGTTCTACTCTAGAGAACTTTCGTAAATAGTAGAATACTAGTCTCTATTTTCTATCTAGGCACTACTATAATAATACAGCTCCAAGTGTATAGTTAGACGCGTCGGTCTTAACTCTAGTAGGTTGTTAAGGGCTATATATCTCAAGTACTAGCGCCTTTAGGAATATCTGCTTAATTTAATTAAAAGTCTCTTAATGTTCCTATTCCTATTTAAAACCTATTTCCTTTTTTATTATTTCTGTAAGGGGTGCTATAATCTTTAAGTAATCTCTAATAAACTTCTAATAATAGTTTGCAAATTCTAAGAAGGATTAAATATCCTTAACTATGTTAGGTATTAGCTATTCCTGTATAGTCTATATCTTCTTTAAGTTTATTTTTACTTCTTTAGTTAATATAATAAATTTAAGGAATTCTATTTCCTATATGTAAAATTTATACTTTCCTAGTTAAAAGTATAGCTTATTGTTACAAGTAACAAGAAGGATTCTTTCCTTGACAAATGACGAGATGGCTGCGAG